TAACTTCCAGTCTGATGTCAAAACAGGCTGGTAAATCACCTCTTCTGGGGTCGCTCTTTTTTTCATGCCACAGAAACAAGAAGAGCCACAGTTGCTTCTTCCATTTCTCTTTGCTCTCAAAGAGAAAGAGGGACACCACACAGGGGACCACCCCGCTGTGTCTCCTATTGACCCTGGAGTTTCACCTTCCCTTGCAGCACTACAGAACTATGTGCAGAAACAGGTGCACCTTCAAAGTCTGTGGGTGAGCTGGAGCATCGGCGCAACATAATATATTTTGAAATGAAACATTCATGTCAAAGATCAAATGAATTACTGAGGGCAGACCTTGAAATCTCAGAGGCTGTGGTTCAGGATTTGTTCGAGGTAAATCGCTAATAGCCAAGACATCTCACTCAAAACCACGAATATGTGGGTAAAGCCGCGCAGAGCCTTGGTTCAGTGCTCATTTATCTCCTTTTTAATGGATCAATATGTGACCAAGTACAAGAGGCAATCCATTTGCTTTGAACCTGTATCACAAGGGATTACCGCTTAGGTTTGCACAACACAGCAGGCAGGAAGCTGTTAAAGACAAGGACCAACACTGCATCCCAACCTTTGACCCCTACATCCTGACCTCTCCTGCAATCTGACATGAGCCCTTGTCTACATGAAAGCTGTCCTGTTGACTCACCAGTGCTAATTTAGAGTTCCGGTGCCCCTGACCACTGTGAGGACAGACAGTCAACATGCTGGCCTCTGGACTTGTGGAGGGAACTTTAGACAGACTTATTTTGCCCAATACAAAAAAAAAAAAGCTCTTGTTTACACTGGCTTCCCTCATGTTTGAGATTATTGACAGACAATCTGATGCTAAACTTTGCCAATACAAAAAAATTCTAGCGTCTGCCTGATGTTTTGACCTCTATCATCGCTCTAATTTGACATCAAAGTCAGCAGATTGGCCTGTTCACCACTTTTGTCCACCATGTGTACAGTATGGTGTTATTACAGTGACTATTAGCCCGTCGCTGAGGGCTTCACATGTCTGCTGATGAAGTCCTTTAACAAGTCTAACAAAGGCTAACCTCACACTGTGCCACCTGCCACCAGCTAAAGAGATTTCGGTCATTACTTGCTCCTTTTTAAATATCATCAAACATCGGCCCTTTCATCATTCCTAGTGTGTGACCTTCAGGTTCACAGCTTCTCTAAGCGTGACTGACAGATCTTGTGAGGGTCAGTGCTGGAGTATTTTTATATCACTGCTTTTGATGGGAACTAAAAATAGAGTGCTCCGCTGACCTCCAGTCCTCAGCACTCATTTGGGGTGCGAGTCCGGCTCCCCCCACGCACACTCCTTTTGACGTCACCTCGGCTGAACGGCTCCTTTATTTTTAGACGCTCCTGAAATTAATTGAATGGTCTTGTTTCGTTGAGTTTGTGCAGTGTTATGTAAGGGGATTACTCTGTTGTTATTGCCTATGCCCTGACCATGTAGGCCACCACACAGAGGAGGGAGGTGGAGACACAGAGTAGAGGGGACTTGGGGTGGAAGAGGAGGGTAATGTAGTTAAGGTAGTAGTACAGAGCTCCAGAAATAACCCAGCTGCGGGCCTAATTGTACATCTCTCTTGCTCCCTTTTCCCTCTTCAGCTGCATGCCAAGGTCTTTGACCTTATCATCCACCTCACTGGTTCCGGAAGAATCCTTTCCGCCCCCTGTGGCTACCAAAGCCCCAGCCGATACACGGAGCACAGCAGCAGACCATCTCCAGCCTCAGACTAACAGCCAAGCGCCACAACCAGTTAGGAGTGATCTCAGCACAGCGCCCAAGTGGCTCAAACTGCCAGGTATGTTCTAATCATCCCCGGCATGGGCCCCGTGGCTCCTTAACAAAGCTTAGCCTCAGGACCCCAGGCCCCTCATAGAGGCTCAGGGCCTCCAGGAAACTTGCATGTCACAGCAGTATATACAGTCAACAGAGATGCTGCATCTGTATATGTGCATTCTCCTCACACACGTGAGCTGTGTGTGTAAATCGCATGCACACTGAACGCCAGGGACCGTGTTTTGTTTGTGTTTTTTTTGACAGCGCTGTAAATGTTTGTAACTTCTCATGAGTGTGTGAGTTGCGTGTGGAGCATCTGAGAGGAATGCGCTCGCTCTGTGTCCCCTTCAGCATTCCTCCATGGTTAGACAGCACCATGCCCATGAGGGGGCCACAAGGGCCTCTTGTCTCCTGAGCACTAATGCATCACAGCCCCAGATCAAGCACAACATGCATGCAAGCACATATATGCACACAAACATCCGAGAACAGATGCACGCCATCACATATTTATTATACAAGTACTCACAAACATGTGCAATCGAAAGGATGGGGGTAAAAATGGTCCCTTATAGCAGATGACACCTGTAGCTTCTTTGTAGATTATGATTTTGTCTCATCTCCTGCCTTTGAAAGAATTATAAAAATAAAACTGCTTACATGATAGTATTTGTCTTTTCTAGACTTTCTACTATCGGCAAAATGTTATAACCAGATTGAAAAAAGTACCTGATCTGACAGTTGAAAAGAGCAAAGACTTGCAGCATTAACAATGAAAATGATGTATATGGTACAAGAAAATATTTTTCTGCACAAATTCCTAGTAAAAGTGAATGTTTTATGTACCATACACGCCAATAAATTTTAATGTAGCTCACACACTTCACATTTTGCCTACTTGGACGTTGTCGACTGCTTGCCCATCTCAGAAAGGCCAGCAGTTAGAGAAATGGGTGTATTATGATCACTTGTCACAGACAGGACCTTAGTTTGGGCCAGAGAAGAAAGGAGCTTTGAGATGACAGAAAGTTGGAAAGATGGGCAAAGCTGTGTCATTCTAACAGGGGGAAAAAACACAGACTAGTGAGTGGGGAATTAAGGAGTGAAATCTGACATAATCCTAACATACCCTCACAGGGACTCTGTAGACAACTCCACCCCAGACTAACATCACCCTAAACCACGATTATAGTGACCACACAGTTTTATCAGACTTGTGCACAGACACACAGCTCTCGATTTGTATTTGTATTAAAAATGTTTAGGAAGCCTCCAGAGATCAGGTATTGCCAGAACATAAGAAGTAAGTGGACAGCCTTAAATTATTTTATCATAATGGTGTGATTTTCAAAGAGATAATAAGCACTTATCCAAACTGTCCCAAGGTCAAGCTTTGTCCCGAATGCATCAATTGCACTGACAAAAGTAGTGCTATTAGCCAAATTTAACTCAATGTACAGGTAAAAGATATGGTTTCATCCTGGCAGTCACTTGTGCTTCTATAAAATCAGTACTGATATTGATGGCTACAATCAGGCAGATATCTTCAAGCAGTGATGAGGGCCTTATCCCATGTGCAGCGCTGTCCAAAGACCAGCCAGAAGGCTGGAGACAGATCAGTCTCTGTCTCCTGGGAAAGGCTTCTCACTCCAGAGCTTCTCCAAAGCGTCTGGACTGGCTGTCGACACTCCCTGCCTTTAATGTATGATCAAGAAAAGCTTTAACTCATTACTCTCTTCAACGCCCCTCCCTATTCTTGTCCTAACTGCTTTCGTATGTTTAATAATACTGCCTTCAGATGTAATTTGTTCCACTAAGATGCATAAGGAGAAAAGTTGTACAGTAGTGCACTACTTTGCCAGTACAGAGACCTTCCAAGAACTCATATTGTGGAAAAGAAAAAAGAAAATCATGGAGATCCAAGAGAATAATTGTTTTTATTTCATCTGAAAGGATTAACGGTTGGAGAGGATCCATCTCAGCTCTGGTAAACCTCCAGAAAAGCTATACACCACAGTTACTATATAATAAAATGTGTATTTTACCATTGTAATAAGTGAGGATGTATTGTTTTTTTTAATTAGATCATTAGGTCCCGTATCTGCTAATAAAATGGGAGTCAGCTTGCAGCATTACATCTGAATGAGCAGTTCGTCAAAGCAGTGGCTCTGCAGTTTACAGTATTTAATGAAACTAGAGGGCAAGACTTGCTGCTATTAAAGACTGTAATTATTAACCCAACAAATTATTTTCTTCACAAAAAGTAGTTTTTAATGGTTTTCATAGCATCATTCATCTAAACATCACTCAACCAAACTTCCTGAAGGCCTGCTGTTGAAGTTACTCCTGGGAAACACGAATCCAATCTGGGCCATACTAAAAAGGTGCTGGGTCAAATTCCAGGTGCTGCGTCCTTGAGCGCCTACCAAAGCCTGGGCTCTTGACTTAAGTGTAAGTTGCTTCCAGCTGTATCTGAGCAGCATTTGTAAGCACAGTGAGTCACCCGAGAGCCACACAAATAAATAGTGTGAGATGTTGTACAGCTATGCTGACTCATAGTGAAGACACGTTGGTCAAATACACCACTGGTGGAAAACCATCAGAGGCACTTGGGTTAGAAAACCCCACATTACTCTCTCCCTTGCAGTCCCAACTTCCCCCTCTGCTGTGATGAAAGGAGAGAAAGCACCTCTACTACTCGCCTCTTTTGTTTATTTACCTTCAGAATTACACCCTGCTCTTCTTGGACCATGTTCCAATGTGTTTTGTTATGTTTCCTTTCAAACAGAATATCTATGCGTGTGGTCTCTTGCCATGTTTGGCTAACACATGCACACGTTCGTGCACGCACACTCCCATTCAACTTTCCCCCTGTGCCAGAGGTCCCCTTTGCCCTTCCCCCCACCTCTAACTAAACATCGCAGGACAGCAAAAGGGAACTTCAAAGTGGCCGGAGGGGGTACTCCTTTTTTCCTGGCACTTGTCATCATCTAAGGGACTGGCTGCTCCCCTTATTACTCTAATTGCTTCCAACTGCTCCAGGAGGCTTTGATGAAGGGCGCCATGGAGCATGCTGGAAGCACCTGTTGTTGCACAGAGAAGCACAGGTGGGCCTTATTGGTGGTGGGATGGAGGAGTGTGGACAGCACTGCTGCTTTCTACTTAAAAATCACACAACTCAAATGAATACAGAATGAAAATTCCAGTGTAATCGCAGATTTGGGTGATTATGAAATTGCATTTATACAGAAAAAATAAACACCAGTTAAACTGAACTTGTAGTTGCAGGAACTGAAGCTGTAGGACTGCAGTAGGGACATGAAGGCAGCACTGTGGCTCCACCTTGTGGCATCACTGTGCTAGAAGTCCAGCAGCTGAATTTCAAAAGAGACAAAAAGCCATGAGATTAATATTCGGAAGTAAATATTTTTGTGCATTAACGATGCACAGTTGAGATTTGTCTTTTGTTCAATTTGCTCTTCATGTCCACTCAGCATTTATATAGCAAAAAAGAGCCAGTCCAGATTGGGATTTCAGAAAAACTTATTTATTTAAAGCTGCACTTTGTAAGCACTAAATCTCACATACTGAGTTGGTGTTGAGCCTGAGCCACATTCATCAAAAGTTATGGCTTACACAGTAGAATTTGTACAGTAATAAAAACAACAAATCAACAAAACTTTATCAACAGTATTAGGTATAGTAACTCAAATAGAGCATGAAGTTTGACCATCAATACCGGATCAGATTATACTTTTTCTTATGATTAGCTGCAATACAAGCAGCAGGTGAAATATTGTAGAAAAAATGCTTTACAGACAAACAAATAGTATAATCTAAAGATACCAGGCCAAGTAAACAAACTCACCAAAATACCATCTCCTGAAATATCTTCCTGGTCTGAGCAACAAATTCACATGACACATGACACTGGAGCAGCCTTAACATTGCATTATTATAATTTATGGCTCTTGAATAATATACCAAAACCCCCATTTTATTGAGCCTATTGAGCTACTTACCAGCTGAGGTAGGATCTTTTCAAAGTGCTCAATATCTACTTGGTCACAGTCCTCAGATTCAGCTTGTTTCTGTGACCTCACAGCAGCCTCTGAAAATGAGATTAACAGATTCATTGAGCATTCAAGGATTGTGCATCAGACTCTCTACAACTGTACCAAACAGAACTTCTTACCTTGGACAAATATTTTTAGCATCTCTGCCATGAGCAGCGCAGCATCCCCACTTACTGTAACACAGTAAGATATGGTAAGCCATTGAATTACCATTAAAACACAGACAGTTTGGGGACGTCACTTAAATTAGGATACAATTTTTCATACAACTCACGTTTGGTTTTTTCCTCCTTGAAGAAACATGACAAGAGTTTGCTTACTGTGTCCTGTAAGTGAGAAGAATTAAGCACATTATAATGTACAGTAAAGACAGACGGTATTTGTGTAGACATGAGCACAAGCAGGTACAAAAATACTTATTTACATTTGCAAAAGACCTCATTTGACCTTCCAGATAACAAACCACGGTGCTATTTTGGCAGTTTGTTTGGTTTGTTCTCCTAAGTGCCGTCTTCATACCAAACTGCGTTTGAAAAAATGTCAATTTAGTGAGCTCCGGTATTTCGGCGTAAGTAACTGATATTAATGCAGAGAGCAGGGACTACGGGGCACTTTTCTGAACCATTATGAACCGTTCTTCCGTTCGGCGTAGATATATTGTTAATCACTGGATAATGTTTTAACGAGGTGTAAATAAGGAATGATTTGTATGCGCTGTTCACCGGTTTAATGGAAGTGTAACATGCAATTCAGGGACAAAGAATAGTCTTTTAGAAAAAGATTAATACCGAGGACGAATAAAAAATCATCATTACGAGAGCGATATTGTTGCTCTTACCTTTTTGAAGCCAATTTCTGCACTCTGTTCCGCCATGTTTTTGATACTGTGTAAGGAATTTGGCGCTCTGCGCAGGGATTGGCCATTGATCTCTGACGTCAGTCGGACGGCCCCCAGTAAACCGTAAAAAACAGTGAAGCAGCAGGGAGCGACTATAACGTGATTCCGGGTCTAGCTTAAATATTTCGTCAATTTAAATTTGGATGTAGAGACAGGGGGCCTCGGGGCTGTGGGGTTGTGTAACGTGGTGATCTTGAGGCATGTCACCAATCCACAAATTTCTGCCCCGGAGATGGGAACATGGCACACTGTTGAGCCAGTGGCATCTATACAAAAGTTTAGGTTTCGTGTTACATCAGTTTTCTTTAAAAGGCCATGTAGAAATGTTTACCCATGTAATAACGTTTGTTAATAATTCAATCAGTTTATGTGATTTATATTTCTCCCATCTTTTAGAAATAAAGAGGCGACATAAGAGGAAGGAAAGACTTGAAAGCAAAATCAACACTGCAGCTGTCAAAACACGCTTCTTTATTTTAGAAAACCAATTACACAGCTTAAGAGCATTAAATGTGAGGCGGTCATTTCGGTTATTTTTCAGACCATTTTGCAGTGTCCGTACAATTCAATAAAAAATATTTCATTTTGTATTCACAAATAGTGGCTCCAGAATAGGAGTTACTGTCTATTAACACCACCCTTTGCAATATGTGACATTAGACATCACATTGAATATAAAGACAACTTTATTATCCATCCAAGTAAGAAAATTACCATTAAACACAGCATAAAATCAGCACAATAATGTACTACAGCAACTGTAGTGTCTTCTTATCTTGCCAAAACACAAAACTCTTCTGAAACAGAAAAAAAAGTGGCAAAGTATTTGTTTATTCATCCTCTTCATCATCTAACCACTGAGCATCTTCGAGTATGTAGCCCAGACCCATTGACCGCCGTGGTCGTGGTACAGCAGGGGCTGTGGTGATCTCCTCCTCTGAATCCTCCTCCATCTGAAAGATACATTTTTCTTATAGTCAGCTGATGAAGATGTAGACAATGCACACTGCAAATGCAAACATTTAAATTTAAATACTGTCAATTTGTGTTTCTTTCCACAAGATTAAGATTTCTATTTTTATGTACATTAAGAGAGAAACACTGGCGCATGCCTTACTCACCTTTGGACTAACAACTCTTTTCACTTCCACTTCAATGCCTCCAATAAAGTGAGGACCAGCCCAGTCTGCTCTGTCTGCTTCATCCTCTGCAGAAAACCTCACATATGCCATTGACTTATTTTTGGAGCACTTTTTAATCTGTAATCCAATTCAACAGACAAGTGTAATTAGTTGACTCCAAAAGGCACTAAAGGCACTAATAAAATTGTATTTTTTCAGCCTTTACCTTACACGCTGTGATGGTGCCCCATTCTCTAAAGTAAGCTCGTATATATCCTTCATTTAAACAAGGGTTCAGCTCTTTTATCACCAATCCATGGTCCTGTTCAGTAACAAACACTCATGAGCATCATGGCAAGTTGTAGCTTATAGGTCAAAAAGAGAAAATTAAGGGATGCTCCTTGTAAATATACGAATGAGAGAAATTGGTCACCAGTTCATAATGTTCAGCCAAATCAGCCATGTATTTTTTCGGAAGATTGATGTACACTCTTCTTTTAGGTGCTGTGTTGTCTCCCATGTTATCTGGAGGGAGGATGAGTAGATAATTGTTGTGCAGTGGGAAGAGTGTAGATTGGTTATAAAGGTATAAAAATAAAACGATGTGAGAATGTTCAACAAAGTTTGCAATTAAAAAAAAAATTCCTTTTTTTGTAAATTAGGAAAACGATCATTTCAGATCCGATTTTCTTCACAGATGAGGAATGAAATCAAGTAAAGTAGTGTTACTTACCAGAGGTTAATATTTCAGATGTTGATGCGAGATGAATCTCCTTTTCAAAAGTACAGAATAGAATAACCTGCTGTGAGGTGAATTCATATAGTGTTGTTCTTTCACAACAAAGAAATCACCTCCTACTTCCACAGAAGTAGCGTGAGGACTGGTGGAAGAGTTACCCAACTTGTTCTGCAGCTAGGGGGAAAAATTTGTCAATGCCAAAATATGCTATTAAAGGATTGAAACTAAAAAGGAATTTTCAGCTTGTGTATTGTACTAATAATTAAGGACAGTTTTAGACAAGAATTCTTATCTGTAAAGTGTGGTTGAAGGAACTTGGACACAGCTGCTGGAAGAAGGTTTTGTTTGTGTGACAGGTGGATAAATGTATGTTTATATGTGAATGTGTATAATTTTAATGTTCTGCTGAATGAATGTAAATGTCACATGCGTGCCACAAATTTATATACTGTTGCAGTCAATTTTTGGCACGAAACGTCACAAAAACGTACAAAATCTTTATCAAATACTCCAACAAAGTGGTCTCCAACAAAGTGGTGTTTATTACTTGTATGTGTTCAGATGAACTACACAGAGGAATACTAGTATTTGGGCCAGGCAGATAAAGGAAGCAGTGTTTTCAGAAAAGGAACAGATGCTACTTATCTAATTTGCTAAAAACAATTCAAGATGGTTCCTCATTCCAAGAACACATTAGATGTGTACAAACAAATTTATTTTGTCGATTCGTACAACACAGTCAAGGTAATTATGCATAAACTATAACATAACTAAAAATAATAACTACAAATATAAAAAACACATCCTAACATACAATAAGAGCTCTAGTATTAATAAATATTAATGACTCACCAAACAGGATATATTTGAAACTAACACACTCTACTGTAACAGGTTTTTCTTATACTTTTGTTCTCCTTGTAGCTTGCCAACATTGGCAACCATCTTGGCATAGATGAGTTCAAAGCTAAGATGCTTGTCGCTGATGAGATCATATCTTGCCAACTACTACGGTATGATGTGAATGTTGTTCAGCAACATGGTGAGAAAAAAGGAAAAAAAGAAAACTTTTTATGTGGAAAACAGTGTGCACACAAATACCTTTTGACATTAAATTGCAGTCAGTAAAACAGTGAGAAGATAAATTGCAACCACAATACGGATACACTGTATTGACACTACTCACCTTATCTGAGGAAACCAGACTATTCTCTTCACAAATGGCTTGCAATTGGGTAATAAGGAACTTTTTGTCCTTACCCTCCTGTATATAAGAGAAAACACACACACACACACACACACACACACACACATATATATATATATATATATATATAATAGTGTATATACACAAAATGGTTTATGACCAAATACCAAAGCTAATCACATTCCCCATCAGCCTTAGCTTCACTCTGTGTTTAGTGCTGATGAACAGATGTTAGCATGGTAACATGCTAAACTAAGATGGTGACATTTTAAACATTACACTTGCCACACATCAACATGTTGGCATTGTCACTGTGTTAGCATACTGCAATTAGTGTTTAGCTCAAAACACCACCACTGTGCCTAAGTACAGCCTCACTCATGTTAATAAAATAAATAAATAAATAAAAAAAAGATTGTGCATACATTTTCAATTTGCTTTTCTAACCGACTGATGATTCTGCTTTGGCCATCAACAACTTGAGTATGAAAGTAGATCACCATTCTGAAATAAAAACAGAAAGCATAAAGTCTCAGTTCAAATTAAAAGAGCAGGAACAGTGTTCAGTTACAAAAGTTTCAAGAAGGCAGACACTTTGTTAACAACACAGTCAAAATTCACATCAAGTTCAAACCAAGTGAAAACTGGGGCTCTGCTAGCAGCATAAAATGATAAATAACTGATAATGCTAATATGACAAAAAGAATGGTTGTGGAAACTGGACAGGTTCTGTAAAAATTGTTTATGATCATGTCACCACTCACAGGAAGACTCCGCAGGCGAGAAATAAAAACAATGGGTTCTCCACCACAGAGTTATACACCCAAATGAGCGAAGACAGGATTGGGTGGGAGTTCTTCATCTCCTGTGCCGACAGCTTCTCTGGCTGAAACATTGTGGTGAGATTCCTGAAAGGGCCACACTCTGCTGAGGGTTTAATCCTGTGGACAACAGATGGATGGATTTTGAAGATATATTGCAGTCTGTCGGTATTTGTAAAGTAGCACCATCTCAACTGTTTAGGCTCCAAACTCAAGTACATTGGATAAGAGTTGAAAAAATTACGCACAGACCCAACCCTATTTATTTCCACAGGAGACGTACATTGGGGTCCAAAAATCTGAGATCTTTACCTACAGTAAATCTTTAAAGGAGTAGTTCGACAACTGGGCAAAGCTATTCCTTCAAAAATTGATCAGAAATATTATATTAAAGATTCATTTTTAAAGACCAAATCATTACTGTAAACAACTTGGAATAAACAGGACTTGCCAGGGACTACTTTCAGCTGTGCATGCAAGCCAACAGTTCCCATGTTCATCATCATAATGAAGTAATATGACAAGAAGTACACTAGTGTGGCTCATTGATGTGTTTTAGTGTTTGGATGCCTTTGGCACAAAGGAAAAAGATACATCAGGTTTTGGCAGTGGCAGTCCTAGACTCTGGGAGGCCAAGGCAAAGAATCCCATTGAAGAAACCCCCACCACCCCCTTATCCCAACCCCCACAAGGAGAATGCTGTGAGACACTTTAATTTACAGATGTCCCCTAAATGCCCCAAGTGTTTGCCTGGTTTGCTTCTCCAAATGGTGCACTTCAGGTTTAGTTTTGAATACACAGACAACACTTATTAGTAGGTAAACTTTTTTTATTTTTTTTTTTTTTGGGGGGGGGGGGGCGGGGGGGGGGCGTATTTTTTACAATGAGAAAAATGCAGAAAGCATCCACAGCCTACTTTAAGGGTAATCTGGTGAAAATGTAGAACTGTCATTAGGTTCCAAGCTTGTGTATAGAAAACTATGTCTGCCTGTGTCATCACACATTCCTTTCGGTGTAGAAACTGCGTATGATGATACACAGTCATTAAGAGAGGAGACATTGTTTATTGTTTGTTGTACTCACTTCCAAATAGTATACATGACAGACACGGCAGCACTGAGAAATGATGGGAAGCACAAAAGAGAGATGAATAGTGTTGTCATCTGACTGGCCCTCCAGGGCTTTCTGGAGGCCTGACAGTTGAGCATCAGACTGCTCTGGGGATGAAACCAGAGAAAGAATGTTAGATTTGTCATGCAACACAGACACACTGTGGAATGCAACAACACCACCAGCTATACAAACCTTCTTCATGTAAAACAGCACAAGCAATTTTATGATTTGGACTGCAGGAAGAAGTGGGGCAAACAGTACCCCGAGCCTGGGAAGAACAGAAGACCGTTAATGGTTAATTCACCTTTCTTGGTTTCAAAAATGTGGTGTAACATTGTGCATTTACCAAGTAAGAGTTTGTCCATATATGAGCTCCAGCACATTGCGAGCAATGTCAAACACTGGCTTCCTGTCCCTTTTCAACACTTCCTCAGAAAAGAGCCTAGAGGGAGGATGCCAGGTTAGCTTAACAGAATGTAAATACTTTAAGCAAAATTGAGTTACATGACTCGTGGGTAAAGCACCAATTTACCTCCACAGGAACTCTCCCAAAAAAGTGTAAAGCACTGTGAAGATAAAGTCCATCAGAAGCAAGCGATACAGTTCTTGCCCCACAAAGGTTTCCCAACACTGTGGACAAGAGAGACACATAAATCTAAAGAATCTGCAAGAAGTGGACGTTTGACAGATATGCACCAATAAAGTTACAACCAAACATCTAATCACTTAGAATGCTTGACACTTAGTGCTGCTTCAAAGCTGCAATTATAAGAGGTCCAAATATGAGAATGTTTGTGACCTTTAAATCACGGCTTTCTGGTTCCACAGCAATTCTTCCCAGCCAGCGGTAGCACAGCACGCCAACAATACTGATCTTCAACAACAGGTTCCTGAGAAAAAAATGTACTGAAACACTGACGTTTCCAGCTTTTATGGAAAAAAAAATATACAAGACGATGTCTTGTATGAAATTGTGATTGTGAATAATGTGAAATTTGTCTATTGTTGCCATGTACCAAAGCTATAAATGGAATAATCATCAAAGAGAACATTTAAAAGTTCCCTGTGTATGATTTGTGTTAAAAGATGAGTTCTTCTTCTCACCTGAAGATGGAGACATAGACACGGACACAGGGTGAGTCGTGTTTCTCTATCCAAGCACTTAGGTTGAAGAGGCCAGGAAGTAACAGGTTAATGCCTGACACCACTGCAGACAAGAGCAGCAGCTCAGTTTCTCTGACAGGACCCGGTTTAATGGTGGCCTGTGAAAAGACGGACAAATCACAGTGAGGGCTGCAGACCAACAACCTCATGACCAGGGGGAGAAAAGACCTTTTTTAAGAGGATTTGACTTTATTGATTGGTGCATTGCATTGTAATAGGCTAAATGCGGGAATGCAACATCATAAATTTTATTAGTAGTCCCATCTTTTCTTCTATGAGGACCCAAAATGTCTGCTGTGGAAAAAGTCTATGAATCTGCTTCATTTGGGAACACCAATGAAGCAAGAGTGCTTTGATCTGGGTTATCAAGATTAATTCAGAAGGAAAAATACAAAGATTTTTGAAGGAAAAAATTGGTGATGGTCATCAAGCAAACACAAGATAGGAAGAAGCCTGTCAATGTCACTGTCAATATAGCAGCAGACTCTTATGTCATTTGTACCTCAAAGCTCTGACAGTTTGTAGGCAGTATTTAACTTCCATGTCTCATTTGCAAAACAGAAACTAATAAGAAACATGCATGGTGCAGAAAGAAACACGCAGTTCATGTTCTTGATAAAGTCAGTTTCCTCAGTATTGTGATCACTGGATAAAATTTACATGTTAGATGGGGTGGCATGTGTTTTTTATTTTTGTTTAACTCCTCCAATATCTTGACAAGGATCTTTCTCACACACAGTAGTTTTGCATAAATAACAGATGAGGGGGGTAAAACATCTGACAGGAAAGAAAAAGGAGAAGTAAATCCCTTGCGGTGAGAAGGTGTTTTTCATCATTTATTTTTGTGTCATTCTTGAGAAAACGTTGTGCCTTATAGTTGCTGAGATATGTGCAAAATGTGTCACGTCTGATTGTGCTACATTTGTTGCAGTTTTCTCTAACCTCTGACAGGTAGTGGACTCCCATGGCGCCCATGAAGATGCTGGCTAGACATGTAGCCCACGCCACCAGATGCACTAGGAGGAAGCAGAGTCGCTGCATGCAGCTCTTTTCGTCTTCTCCACTGATCATCTCAGACAGAAGCTCCTGTGGGGAAAGCAGCGTTTGTGATGTTGAGCCAGCAACATTCGACTGATCTTCGCAATGTGTTGAAACTGATGTGCTAGTCGTGTCTCAACCTTATTTACTGTGATAGCTGCCATCAATTGTATTTCAAACAGATACTTAAAAACCCTTCCTTCATGAGAAAATGGCCTACTGTAGCCTCTGTGTGCAGGCTGAGGAGGCTGCTTTAAAGAGTTACACAGCATGGGAAATGCAGCATTAATACTTCCTGTGTGTGAAACCACTTTAACAAAGCTAAGATAGTGTGACAGTAATGTGTCAAAGTGGCTAAGCATGACATTGAATCTGTGAAAAGTATAATCCAAAATTGTTCTCAGTTTCACAATGGTTTTGAAAAGTTATACATTCATGTTGAAGCAAGTTCATGTTCACAACCTCATGTTTATGCTTCAGTTTGGAAAGAAAATGTAGAACCACCACTGGACTTCTAAAATTTGTATTTACATAAAAATTATGAAATATTCACATGATTGCTTACTTTGAGCTGAGTGCTGATTCTCTCAGACTGAACTCTGACAGATGACTTCTTGCTGAGTTTAAAGTCCCAGGTGCTGAAAACTTTTACTGCCAGATCCCCATTTGACTTGAGGACATGAAAACTTCTCCCAAAGGACTTGGACATGCTGCAGGAGAACAATATATCCATAAAAACACACATGGACTAAAGTAAAATGAATGCATGATTGATTCACTTATTGTCCAACCTGGACACCAGGATGATGCAGATGACGAAGAAGGTGATGGCAATGGAAAAGAGGTAGGCTGCTGGTATGCTGTATGACACCATCTGGCCAGTGATTGAGTTAGTGCTGGTGTAGTAGCCGTAAAACATCACACTCTGAGAGAGGTAGCCCTGCCAGACATAGCAGGTCGAAGGGAGATCCAGTTGAAGAACATGCCAAAGAAACAAATATATATACACTGCTCTGATGTAATGTACGGCCATCTTACCGTGCCTGTGAGAAGCTGAAGGCCAGTGAAAGTATGGAGATGAGGGTCATAAATAGGAGGGTCAATGGCTTGAGGCATGACCACGAACAGGCCATTGATGATGAAGAGTAGGAGGTTAAAGCGCAGGAGGGTTCGGAGAAACAGGAAGTAGGAGAGCACTCCAGTTCCAAAGCGTCCACTCAGTCTCTTCATGGCTGAATGCCACGGCTGGAGGGAACTGAGGATGGGGAGGCAGTTGAACAGGCAGTGACGCCAAGTCTGATGGGAGAAAAACACGAGTGTACGACTGATACACGCAAAGAAGAATAATTTATATTTTATAATGTGGAGCACACTGTTTGTTCTCACCCTCAAAACGTACATGCTGAGACCACTGTAGCATGGAATATTTCTACTGATGAGTGTACTTTTAGCTACGTCACTAAAAGCAAGTCGTCTATAAGAGGATAAGGAAAGGATTTGTTAGAAAGTAGCACCTGTTACTGCAGTTCTAGATGCTTTATTTTTCAGGCAATTTCATGTTTTCAGTGTCACAGGTACCTGATCTTCATTTTATCTGTCAGACTAAGCGGCATGGCTCGCAGCTTGCGCACGCCCTCACTCACTGACAGGCCTCTGAGGTCGGATGCCAACTGCTCCTTGTTTTCTGTTGACCAAAAGTTAGAAACGAGCAAATTATCTGCTGCGCCTGTGGATGTCGCTAGTTTGCTGCAGCCAACACCGAGTCTCAGTGCAAGGAGCAGTCAAGTGGCTTAGCATTTTTTATTCACCTTCAGTACTGCTTTCCTCCACATCAACCTCGCTAAAGTCAACCTGGATTGGTCTGGCGGGATGAGAAGAATCATTGGAGGGGGTATGGCGTTGTCGTAGCTGGGAACACCGGGAATTGACTGCAGCACTATTTTGCCCTGTGTGGACAAAGGTCAATTTTTACTTGACATTTGTAAACGAACACTCAAAGTTTTTTTTTTTTTTCTCTTACAACATTTGCCTATACTTTTTTAAACAGCCACATAGAAATTTTAACCCCTGCTTACAACATAGACAGTTAAAAAAAAAAAAAAAAAACACTTCATCTCACCAGCAGTGCGGCTTGGCATTGAAGAGAGGACCTTTAGAGTAGCAGCTGACCAGCGCTGCCTCTGCAGAGACTTGATCTGCTTTGTGTCAAGAGTCTCATCTCTCATGTGGTCATCCCCCATCAAACAGCTGTCTGAAAGAAACATTATTTTCAAAAGTTTTCAGATCAAACACAATTACAGTATATTGTCCTCAGTGTCTTTGGCTTTCTGATGATGAAAGTACACATTCATTATTTTTAAACAAAGGCATTTGAAGGACGTTTAATAATCATTTCAGATTAATTTCACTGTCATTCAGCAGCAATTGTTACTCATTTGAGAGGTTTTCAATCTGTAGATATTGAAATTGATAACAGTTTTGTAGCAGTAAATGGCAAACCTTCTGTATTTGTACTCGTGTATCCGCTAACCACATCCAGCTCCAAAGTTTCAGGGCATCTCTGGGTACTGGCTGCTGGTTCTCTGACATACCCGAGGAAGGAGTCCTGACCTGGTTCACCTTCTCCCAGGTTCCTGTAAGAGAGTAACCATCAGACCTAGAGTCCCAACAGCTTTGGCCAAAACACCCTCACTACAGGATCACATATCGTTTAAGACGTGATGTATCTTCCGCAGGTACATGGCTCCACTTTTCATACAGGAACTTGGATACTTGAAAGTTCCCAAATGCTTTCCAGTTCCAAACACTAATGAGCAGAGAGGCCTCAGCAAAGACAGATCAGTCCTAAATGACTGAAAGTTGCAGTTATAAAAGTGCTGGCAATGTTTTCTCCAAACACTACCATGTATGTATGCTGTAAGGGCACTGACTTTTCAGTGTTCAAATAACGACTGAATTGTAGATTTAAAAAAAAAGAAAAAAAGTTAGTAGCACAATTTGGAAAAGAGAAAACTTACTTACTGGCCTAACAATGCTGATTCTTGACACATTTATCTAGTGTATCTAAAAACAAAAGTACAAAAAGTAGAACAACTCTCAAGCTTTCAACTGAAAGATGGAAAGAAAACTTACTCATAGTCGTCACTGGAGCTCATACTGTGTGCCATGGTCCTTGATGATCTTCTTTTACTTCTTTCCAGCCTCACATAGGGCTCTGTTTATCCTTCCACAATGTAAAGTCATGCACTGTTCAGTGAAACTCTGACAAAATGTTGCTTTTCTTCCAGTGAAATTCCCTTGCAGAGCGCATCCCACTCTCTGACCCTTATAGCAGAGCTGCTGGGATATGAACAACTTCCTTACCAATGAATTATGTGTAAGAAATGAAGAAGCAATGCAGAAGAAAGACATAGAGGAGGACAGTAGCAGTCTACTCTTCACTTATGATAAAAGCATTTCATATATACTTCCTCTCTTCCTCAGTCTCCCCCTCTCTCTCAACACAGTGACTTATTTGCAATTGGTACAAAGCGTTACTTGCCTGCATCTCTGACATGCGATATATGGGGAGCAAGTAGGGACATGGTAATTAAATAAATAAATAATAAATAAATAAATGTAATACATTATCCAACATATAGACTATGTCAATATATCTGATATATAATATTATTTTGAAAGGTTTAAGAGGAAGTTTCAGAATGGTATTGTGTCTTGAACATATATGTCTTGAAGGTGGTTGGAGCAGACAGATGACCTGAGTGTATTTAGAAAGAATCATGAGTGTTTACTGCCTTTCAGTGGCCACAGTGAGGAACTGCAATACTACATTAAATTGGTCAAACCAGTTAAAATTAAAACTATTTCAAATTAAAAGATTATTATGATTATGATTGATGATGATGATGATGATGATGATGATGATGATGATTTTCATTATTATCATTATTGTTATTATCAGACAGAAAACACCAACTCAGATCTCTGGAACTCTCATTTCTGAGTCAAAAGAAGTGTAATGATAAAATTAATTCTTAAGTTCTTTAGTAGGAATGAAGGTGAAGATGATTTTTACTTTCTCTGAAGTCCAAAATTGATCTTTTAGCAATGTAGCCACGCAGTTTATGTGGAGCCCCTGAACGCACCACAGAAGGGGCGGNATGATGATGATGATGATGATGATGATGATGATGATTTTCATTATTATCATTATTGTTATTATCAGACAGAAAACACCAACTCAGATCTCTGGAACTCTCATTTCTGAGTCAAAAGAAGTGTAATGATAAAATTAATTCTTAAGTTCTTTAGTAGGAATGAAGGTGAAGATGATTTTTACTTTCTCTGAAGTCCAAAATTGATCTTTTAGCAATGTAGCCACGCAGTTTATGTGGAGCCCCTGAACGCACCACAGAAGGGGCGGTGTTTGAGAAGTTTTCAGGAAGTTGTGTGATAAAACGAAACAGTCCCAACTTTGACAGGAAGAGTTTTCAGCTTGTCTTCAGACTGTTGGACAGGCATTGTTAGGTGATTTAAACAAAATGCAGAGCAGTGCTTACGGGGCCTCTTTGGCCGGCGGTGCTTTTGATTTAGCGAGCTTTGTCAGACAGCCTCAGACCATTCTGCGCTGCCTGAGCTGGGTGAGTGACTCCACGGAAACGTTAACGTTAGCATTAAAGTTAGCCAACTGTCACTTCACCGACCGTATGTTAACAGATGTGCGCTGCCAGGGTCGACACAAATCAGTCAGGGACACGGTTTGTTAGCGTCATGAGCTCCTAACACCGGACACGAACTGGGGTTTAGGTTGAAACCTTGAATAAACTTTGAATAAAGTGTTAATTAGATGTATTTTCCATAGCAGTAGTTGATATTAGCTCATGTTAGCTAGCATGTCCAGTGCTGTGTCACCGCAGTAACTGCGGCCAGATGATGGACGATGTTTGGTTTTAATTTAATAATTGTTGGTTATTCTAGTTTAAAACTTCGCCTGTAACAATTTAGTCTCATAGAGCACACGGCTCTTTTTTCTGGAGTGTGTACAGTGTCAGATAAGGAAATGAAATTTTTCCAGCGTCATCTGTTGAGCTGCAAAGTTGTATTTAAGTGCGTAATTTGGGGAGGCTAGTCATGTAATAATAATGATATAATAAACTTAACCTAAGTGGAACTCTTCAAGAAACATATCACCACAATGCTTTACAATAAAACATCACATTAACTGTACATTCATCTCTAGGAAGTTACTTTAAAAAGTTGTGTTTTTCTAAAAGAAGACAGTTGCTCTTACAAAAGTCATTTCAGATTTAATGGGCCCTGACAGCCAAAGCTTTGTCACCTTTGCCTTTGAATCTAGATCTTGCAACAAATAGCATCTATGTTGAGGCACTAAAAAGAAAGAAATGGACAATGACTGAGATTTTGTTATCAGTTCACAAAGGAACCAGTATACAATCAATTATCAAAATTGTTGCTGATTAATTTACTGTCAGCCAGTTAATCAATTAATAGACTATTTGATACAGCTGCACTCCGGTGTAAAAAGTGGATCAGGAATAAGAATCACTCCCACAAGGTGTCGCTCTTTTCTATGCAGTATATACAATGTAAAAATAGATCTGGAACTGAAACTTCTTCAGTGTCATCTGATCAACTCAACTTGTCTGAACTGGCTTGACAGATGTTTTCATATGAATTTAGATGATTTTTTTTTTATGGTGAAAGCTTTCTTGTAATGTGAATCATGTGATAAGAATCACACAGCCCTGCAACTGCTTCACTTAGAAAACATGTATTTTTCACCATTTCCCTCCCCCTGGCATTAACCCTGTGTGTCCCTTCTTTGCAGTTATTTTCTATTGTAGTCTTTGCGACCATCACAGGAGAAGGCTACGTTAACTTGGCAAGCAAGGCAGAGGCCCAATGCATTTTCAATGGCGTTGAAAGCGCCTGCAGCTACGGGGTTGGAATCGGAGTCCTGGCCTTCCTGGCCTGTGTTGTCTTCCTCATACTGGATGCCTACTTCCCACAGATCAGCAATGCCAAAGAGAGAAAATACATTGTCATAGGAGATTTAGTCTTCTCAGGTAAGAGTCAGATTTTACTCTAGACTTGTACTCATACTAGAATAAAAGAAAATGTCCCCAGAAACAGGAATTGCAGCTGGGTTGAGGTTAATGTTATCATCATATTTCATTTTAACCCTGACTATTAATTGCTGTGCTGTATTTTCTTCGCGGGACAGCGGCTTGGACATTCCTGTGGTTCATCTGCTTCTGTGTTTTGGCCAACCAGTGGTCCAAGACCCCTGAAAAAACTGTTGTCCCTGCTGATGCCGCTCGGGCTGTCGTGGCTTTCTCCTTCTTCTCAGTCATCACCTGGGTGAGTCTCTCTTCACCTCCTTGTGTTACCAGGATTTGATTAACAAATTCATTTGATAAGGTACAACTCAGCTTGTTGAAAATGTGAGCCATGTAAAAGCCCCGTTTACTGATTCAAACCTCTCTCAACAGGCACTCTTGTCCTACTTTGCGTATGCAAGGTATCGTCAGGGCGTGAGTGAATTTGACCAGGAGTACAGAGACCCAGCCAACGATCACAGTACTCCATACCCACCTGCCCCATATGCCAGCGGCCCCTCAAGCTACCAGCAGTCGCCTTTCTCCCACAATCAGGAGCATCCAGGGGAGTACCAGCCTCCAGCTTATTGAAGGACTGTGATTCAAAAGCATGAATCCAACAAGGGAGTTTTCTTTTTAAATAAAGACATGTGCCAATGGTTTCATTTACAATTCAGACTGTTCTCTGCACTCCGATTTTCTTCCTGCAGAAAGTGTTTGCATATTTTTGGGTGCACTGATGTGTTTTTAGTTTGTGCCATTGTTGTAAGTTGTTTGGTGGATGTTTGATGCTTTGTTCACAGTGCCACACACAGCAGTTGAACTCTGAAAATATTATTTTGTTAGGAGATTATCTTGGTAATAGAGAGGATGAGGGTGCCATTGTTGTCTTTGTAGCAAAACACATGTCGTTACTGCAGCACCCCTTTTGTTTCATTTTAGAGTGCAGTTAGAGAGCTGTTAATATCAGAGCATAAATTGATAAACAAGTTAGGATATACTTAGTTGTCTGGAAATCCGCTTTGCGTTCTCGATATGACAACTGTTTTTTATGTATGTTACTGTTAAGTACATATATTTTCATTACTGTCAAATTCATATACAGCAGTTTAATGCAATAATTAAGCAAAACAAGGATTCATGTGCTTTGTTTTTTGATCACAAAACAAACCCATATTATTTGATCACTAGGTGCATTGAAAATGTTCCCTCTGTAACTACTGTAATGCTATGTTTTTGTTTCTTTTTTAATCACCAACCACTGAAAATGGCTTTTATGCACTGAAAAACACAGTTAATTTCCTTGGGGGCTGTTAATTGCCAATATCCGATCTAAGATTGTTGATTGTAATGGTTTAAATCCATTTCTGCTACATTTTAGTTTAGTATTTAAGGGTGTTTTGTTTTGAGGTAGTCAAACCATTCAATTATATGAGCTACCTCTGTAGAAGTTCAGTGTGACTTATTGGGTTCAGTTACAATTTTTAAAACAAGTTATTCAGAAAATGTTTGATTTCAGGAATTTTTTGATATTGTGGTAATTAATATATTTATTAGCCTACATAATCCTTTCAGTCCATGTGTGTGACAATCAAAGCATTTTTTTCTACATTTTTTCCTTGCTTTTCCTTGTTTGTAATTTAAAAGGTAATTTTACCTTTTACATACTTGCAGTTTTACTGTCATGCTCAAAGGCTTTACAATATTTCTCCATCAAAGTGCCTTATACAGTATTCTGTATAACACAAGGTTTGCCAAATAAAAACTGATCTCGTTTTGAAGCTTTGGGTAGGCCCATTATTTACATACCTGTAACGAGAGATCCGGACTCTGCAGGCCTGTGCTCCCTTGGTAAATATTTGAGTAGTGATTGTGTAGGTGAATGTGGAAGAACTTGTAGAGAGTGAAGACAACGCCATAATGATGTAAAGACAGTAAGACAGTAGACTAGTATATTATGTGCATGCTTAATAGAAGTACACTAAAACAAAGATGTCTAAATTCTCGTGTTATATCAAGACTATAACGTTACATATATTCATTGCAGTCAGTTACTGAGAGCTCATGCGGTCAGAGTGAGGTTGTGAATGAAAACACGATTTAATGAAATAATGGATTAAGGGAAAGGGGATAGTATTCACCATAATCTTGAACGTCAGATCTTGGTTTCATTTTGACTAAAATAATGATGAAGCTTTGGAAAAACCAGTGTCATATGTAATCCATTACTGATCGGAGAGACACAATTTCACCACTAACAGATGCAGTTCAATGGAAAAGACTGAAAGCTATGCAAAATGTACTTAATGCGTTTGTGATCGTTTTGGTGGTCGTTTACCGCCTCTTTGTGGTCATTTCGCGTCTCTTTCTAGACGTTTCATGTGTTTTCGCGTCTCTTTCTGGTTGTTTTTCATCTCTCTATTCCATGTTTTGCAGGTGAAGACCAGGGGGCCCTCTGACCCCTTGAGCGTCAGGACGGGTGCCTGGTAACTTTCTTCAAACATGCGTGCATGTTCGTGCCGTTATCTTGTGCGGGGGAGTTTCAATTTAAAGTTATTTGTTATTTAAAAGCAGTCTGTAGATTTAGGCCCCGCAGTGCATTGTGTTAGTTTGAAGTTATCATATTTCCGACAGCACGTGAAGGCAGCCTTTGACAGACCCTCTTGTATGCAGGGAGCGCGCAGGCAGTGCACGATGCTGTCGTCATCGGTACACACAGGAAGTAATGGTCGGTTGTCTGCTAAACGCAAACGGAGGAGAAGGAGCGGAGGGAGAAAGCGACACCGTAATAATGACATCTGAGCTCCAGCCGTCAGCACACTGCGAGCTGAACATCTAACATCTCCGGTGAGTACGAAGTGAGCTGTTTCAGGTCGCTTGTGAACGCAGCCATTTGTGATGGCATGTCTGTGCAGTGTGTATGTGTGTGTGTGCTGTGTGTGTGTGTGTGTGTGTGTGTGTGTGTGTGTGTGTGTGTGTGTGTGTGTGTGTGTGTGTGTGTGTGTGTGTGTGTGTTAACCTCTGCGCTGCTGGAAGGACAGGGAAAGCTAACACACAGACAGATACATGCACACGCACAGACAGACAGACAGACACGCCGATGGGATGTGTCTGTGTGTGTGTGAAGGAGGAGAGGGGGACTTAAAATCATTGGCACTCCCAACGAAACAAACTCTGCCAACAAACAGTTAACAATAGGTCCAACTAACAGCATTCTGCTCAGTGGTTTATGAATTAAAGGCCTGCAAAAGTGTAAACGTCCCAGGACCACCTAGGCCTGAGAGGTGGTCCCAGGGCTCTGCAGCGAAACGACAGACATTTAAATTTCACCGTTGGTCCACAGTGTCATACACATCTGTTTAGGGGGTCCTTGATGTGCAGAATCTGCCTTACAGCACTGAGTGAACTATTTATGGGCCTCACACACACACACACACACACTCTCTCTCTCTCTCTCTCTCTCTCTCTCTCTCTCTCTCTCTGGCTCCTTCATCTACTTCCTTTGAAGCATATCTCCCCAGATGTCATCCTTTATGGTGGCACAGCAGTTTTAAAGCAGAGATACTCACTCACATGTTCACAGCTAAACTTTTTTCCCTGTTAAAAAGAAACACTTGTTGCAGAATTACTCAGCTGCCTGTATTGTCAGGGAGGTGTTGAGAATGACGCCTCTTCTATGTTGTATATTATGTCAACTCACTGAGGGAAATGACTGAGAAGCTCAGGGGTTGCTTGCCTCCTAATTCACTCTTCATTAGAGTTATTAGAGTAGAGTTACTCAATTAAAAACATACATTTATTATTGGGTAAAATAATACTTTTCTGATAGTGTCAACCAAAACTGAACATTATAATCTGTTTAGAGGTCACATTAATGGCAGAGCTGTTGTATTGGATTGCCTTAGGTGTTGCAGGTGTACCCAATATACCTGAAGATTGAAATTAAACAATTTGACTCAGAGAATCTCAGAAGTTTCTTGTTTACTGATTCATAATTTATGCATAATCTGTTTCTCCACTTCTCGCTCATCTTGTCAACATTTATTTTGGACTGAAGCCTAGTAGGATTTAAATCAGTTAATGTTACTACAAGTCAAAGTAAGTTTGAGTTCCTTTAGCCATGTTGACTGCTGTGCTGTTATTATCGGGCTAAACTTCGGCCTCTGTCCACACAGAGTACTCAGAGAACTGATTGCGTCACAGGAACACCCCTGTTATGTAGGAACCAAGTTATTGTAGCGGCCCTTTCACCTTTATGCAGGTAGACTTATTGTGCAGCTAACAAATGTTTTCCTAACCTCTGTCCATTCAGGGGTTGCCGAGATGAATGTTAACTTAATGAACTGTGTTGGCGTCCTGCTAAAGTCTCTCCTTTGGACTCAATCATAATCCTCCAAGTCTAGTTAAAGTTCACTAGCATTATAGCAACCCCTAGTCATGGTTGCACTGCAAATAATCAGTGAGCAGAAGGAGAGTTTGGAGCTCGGGGCTGGCTGTGGAGGTCTTGTGAGGTAAATTTGATGACACAGGTTCAGCGTTCTGGCAGGAGGAGACAAAGGGGTAAGCCTGTTCAAACTTTTATATTCCAATTTAGAATCTAAACAGGCTTTTTAGGCAATTAACTACCAGCCACTTGTTGGTGTATTTCAGACAGGATAGTTTTCTTGCCTCTGAGTGTTGGCCCTGATGTTGCTGTCATAATGGACTGCTGTTTGGCTCGGGGCCCTCTTATGAAAGAGTCTTTCAGCTCCTGCTCTCCTTTCAGAGAAATGCAGCCATGTTTAGGCCACAGAGGTCGAAGCTCCTGAGGCCAGCTTCAGCGGTCCCTGGAATTTAAAGAGTAGATTGCACATAAGTTTTACGCTACAGAGCCTGATGGTGAACCCTGTAAGTGTAGAGAGCAGAGGAGAGTTCACAACACTGACTGTACACATTTGGGTTTTGTTGAGAGTGTTAATTTGACTCAAAGGTCAAATTAGTTTGTTGAGTATTTAAGCATATATCAGTATAGTGCCAGTATGTAAAAAACATCATGTGGTTGTAGAATATTTCTCTTGTCCACTTCACATGTACTAGACTTAAAAATCTACTTCTTAACTGGCTCTCTATTGGCTATGTAAAGTTTTATGTAAAGAAAATCATCTAACTAATCTAGGATTTCGATTAATGATTATTTTCATTATTGATTACTCTCCTGATTAGTTTTTCTATTAATTCATTAATCATTTGATCTATTATACATAGCAAAATAAAAATCCTCTGTTTTGTCCAATAATCATTCCAAAACTCAAAAATATTCAATTTACTGTAATAAAAGATAAAGAAAACAAAGCAAATGTGTACATTTAGGAAGCTGGAAACATCGGATGTTTGACATCTTTGCTTGAAAATGCTTCAAAATAGTTAATTTTCTGTTTATCAGATCATCATTTTATTATTCTCATTATTAATTAATCTGTTGATTATTTTTGATTAATGATCATCGGAAAATGGCAACAAAATATAGCTACAGAACAACAACACCAAACCCAAAGATCTTCAATTTCCAACAAGAAAAGAAGCAAGTCAAGCAAGGCTTTTTTACTTAATGACTTTAATGATGAGTTGGTAATGAAAACTGAGTCACTTGAGCAATAGTATATAACAAATTAGGACTGTTAACAGTAGGTGTTACTGGTGCTACAGCCAGCTGGTTGGGTATTTCCTGATTTACCTGTTCATAGGTACCGTCCCCTCATTGTCACTGAACGGACTCCTCCCAGCATCCACGTTGACAAAGTGCAGTGGAGGCCGCATGATATTCACCCAACCTTAAGACTGGCTACTTCCTTCCTTGTTTAATGTTTTACCTGGCATACACTAACTTGTGTGAGCTCTTACTGGAATTTAAAGTAATATTTAAGATAGAGGTTGGATGAAGGATCTGCTGACCATCTGGAGTAAAAGGTTTGATTTAGAGGTGGAGATAGTCTTCTGATGGACAGTACGTAAGTAGGATTACATGGAGTTTTATTATTTAAATGTCAGTGGTGCTTTGGTGTTGCCATGTTGTAGGCTAAGTTAGAGAAAAATTGAAGAGAAACTTGTTTGTTTTCAGACAACTTATACTATTCAAAAGTTTAGTTGAGTTTACTTTTCTTTACATTATGCCCTACTGCCTTATTATGCAATTTTTTTGTTTTCACAGTTAAGGGGCATGTACTACAGGATTAAGGAATGTTGAATGTTGTTCTGTCAAATTGTGGTATTAGCTCACAAGGTAAAAGCAGGTGTAACAAGTATTTACTGCCAAGTTGAGTAACCCAGCCTTATCTCTAACACTCAACCTTCTATGAATGGTGAACTGTATTTTAGACAAGAATTACCATATTAAAGCGAGACTGTGTAAACACTTGAAAGAAGAAATAACACATTCTTTCTTTTACAAATAAAAAAGAAATGTATTCATAAGCAGGAAAACACATCAATATTCAATTCAGTACACACAGGCGGTTTGCTGCTACAGCCCTACTTGGCCTGGTATGACCAGTATTTTCAGTTGCAAAATGATGGATAATGTAATATAAAGATATTACTCTTTAACAGATCTTACTTTGTGACTCTTGACTTTTCCTATTGTTACAGTGATTTTGGCATTTACCATTGTTCTGTAATTGTTACAAACTGTGTGACATTTACTCTGGAAGAGGCTTGGTAGGGAACCATATATGACAAAATCTTTTTTAGACAAATGGACATAGTTTAGATTTAGTTGTTGTTGTTGTTGAGAGCAAAATGTTCCTACTTGCAGAGCTATGGTGGGACCTTAAATATAGATAAGTAAAAACTGTAATCTACCACAAATGAGGCTTCACCTTTTCTTTTTGACAACCTGCTGCTTTCTTGAATGATCTGCAAGTGGACATTACTTACATCCTCTCTCTCTTTTTCCTTAAGGTCAGTCCAGACCTCCGTCCTCCATGCCTGCTCCCCCAGGCTTCACGCGACTGGAGCAGAATGAGCCTATGAACTCCCTGCGTATCTCTGTAGGAGGCCTCCCCATGCTGGCTTCCATGGCCAACGGCACTGACCCTCGTTTCCGCCTTAAGTGGAGGCCAATCGTGGCCGTGGCTGGCTCCCTTACCTTGCTCCTGCTGCTCTTCATGCACTTGAGCTCAGGCTTTCGTTCCCACTCCTCCAACTCACACGGCTGGAAGGCCAGTCACAGTGACACAAGCCAGTCCAATTCCCATTACAACGACACCTACCCTCTCAGTACGCCTGAGCGCACGCCGCAGGGCACCCGCTACCGCATTGGAGTCATTGCCGACCTGGACACAAGCTCTCTTAGTGACAAGAAGCTGACGTGGTTCAGCTACATGCGGCGAGGGTACCTGATGGTGTCCCAGAGTGGTGATAAGGTGGCGGTTGAATGGGACACAGACAGAGTGCTGCTGGAAAGCCACTTGTCGGAGAAAGGCAGGGGTATGGAGCTATCTGAGCTGGTAGTGTTCAACGGGAAACTCTACAGCGTTGATGACAGAACGGGTGTAGTCTATAACATTGATGGCAATAAAGCTGTACCCTGGGTCATCTTACCTGACGGTGATGGCAGCGTTGCCAAAGGTCAGAAACATACATTGTATTTTATGCATTTATTTGACTGTAAAAAATGTTACTTTGAAACAGTGGTTTCTGTTAAGAGATCCTTGTCATGTTTCAGATGTCTATGAGTTGTTAGTGGTTTCACCTCTAAACATTTCAGACGGTTTCATTTAAATAACTGTTAAAGGCCCAATGAGGTGAAGTTATTGAGATTAGAGTACTGTCTAAAAGATGAACACATGAATATGAATGATGCTTACATTATATATTCTGCCTGTCATACTTTTGAACTTTAACTTTTGAATGCAGGACTCATGCTTGAAGTAATTTTACCACAATGCAATGGTACTTTTACTTTCTCCTGTTAGGGTTCAAAGCTGAGTGGCTGGCAGTGAAGGACGAGCACCTATACGTCGGCGGTCTGGGGAAGGAGTGGACCACCACTGAAGGCGAGTTCGTCAACAACAACCCAGAGTGGGTGAAAGTAGTTGGCTTCAGAGGGGATGTACAACATGAGAACTGGGTCCCCAGGTACAATTCGCTGAAGTCTGCTGCAGGGATAGAGCCTCCAGGTGAGGATGTTACTCTGGTCTCACTCAGAGTGGCTTCCATTTCTTTCACTTTGCTTTATTCTTTACCATATTCCTCTGGATCTCCGCAGGTTATCTGATCCACGAGTCAGCAGCGTGGAGCGACACCCTGCAGCGCTGGTTTTTCCTCCCCCGCCGCGCCAGCAAGGAGCGCTATGAGGAGACGGCGGACGAGCGCCGCGGCACGAACCTCGCCCTTAGCTGCTCGCCAGATTTCAAAAACATCATTGTAAGTCGAGTGGGTCCGCTTAACCCCACTCACGGTTTCTCTTCCTTCAAGTTTGTCCCCAACACGGACGACCAGATCATTCTGGCTCTCAAGTCAGAGGAGGACGCAGGAAAGATCGCGACATACATCATGGCCTTCACACTTGACGGACGCATCCTCTTACCTGAAACTAAGATTGGGGATGTAAAATATGAGGGCTTGGAGTTCATATAGAGGGCACAGAGACTGCAGGACTTGCTCTTGAGGCCACTGCACCGTGGTTCTATTTTGTTTACAAACCAGTCACTGTTGAAGTTAATGTACTTGCTGCTTTCTCATAGGGTTTGTAAAAGACACAACTCCAGCTCATAAAGGATCATCTTCAGTACAAGCAGAAGAACGATGGACTGAGACTGAAATGTTGTCCAGTTTTGGGGTTTGAGAAACTGTCGGTCAGACTGAAGAATGCCAGCATGTCTTGTGGCGCATCATCTCCTTCCCAGGCCAAATGTGGCCCTCAACAGTACTGTAGCCTTTCTTATAATGAATGTACAAAAGATTGATTTATCAGACTGTGATTTTTTTTTTCCTAAAGCATACATGTTCATGCACATACTGTACACTCTCAAAAGGTCAAAGGTTTTCCCCTTTGCTCCATGTTAAACAGCATCATTCTGTACACACCAATCGTGTTATTTTCAGTGGAATAACAAACGCCTGTTTTTATTCTCCATAATAATCATTATCTGAAGGATGTTGTGGTGAATAATGAATTGCTATGTGTAATGTTTTTTGGAAGGTAGGGGGGCTGACTAAGTAAAACATTGATTCTTATTATCTGAGTCTTGTCATGTAATTCACATTGGGATTGTGTTACAAAACTGGTTCAACAAAACTCAGATATTGTCCTCAAGCAAGTCTTGACTGGACCAAGCAAGTCTTGACTGGACCAAGAAGAGTTGTGCAACAGCCCAATTTCCTCTTTAATGTAAAACGAAACTTAGGGAAAGCAACAAGAGAGGAAAAGTGAAGCATACACCCCCATTCCTCACCCCCTCCCTATGTAGCAAGACCTCAAAAGGAGGTACATTTGTGTCACAGGCTTCAAACAAGAGATCACATTTGAGGACAACACTTTATAACCAGAGAGAAGAAGGTAATGGGGCTTCATTACATTGTCTTTCAAGTTTGACCTATTCGTTTTTGTGCACATGTTCAGTGTAGTCATTTTCAGTTGCGGTAGATGCTGCATTAAATCTTGCATTGATCTTTATGCAAAAAAGCCAAACAAACAAAACTACAGGTCTAGGTTTGGTGCAGCTCAAAAACATGCAAGGCATAATTTTATGCATATTTGTGATTCTATTTCTCACACTTCTTTTTGTCATTGTCTGTCTGTGTCAGAGTCCATAAAGTGGCGGGTGGAAATGCTCACATATCGAAATGTACGCACCCTGTGGCTGCTGCTACTTCTCAATGTCTCTGGAAATGCACGCAAATTCAACCTGTTCAGTGAGTCATCTCAAGCACTTTGTGTGAAAACTAAGAAAATACTTTTAACTTTGCCTTGAAAATAATACATGCAGATGAAACGATGCTTATACTGTAGTCATGTAAATATTAATGATTGTGTGAGTATACTATGCCATGCCTATGTTATGCACTTTTACAAATTTATTCTAACCATGCTCATTTAAAACAATGATCTGGAGATTATGTGAATGTTTGTATAACCTTGGTGACCTTGGTGGTGACCTGTCATGTCCTTTGTGAATATTTTACCCGTCTCTGCATATAGGACGAAACCCTGAGGCGCAGGAAGGTGACATAAGGCTGTTTGGCTCTAAGATCATTTCAGAGGGCCGTGTGGAGGTCTACCATGACGGGAAATGGGGAACAGTGTGTGATGACGGCTGGGACTTGGCTGAGGCCCAGGTGGTGTGTCGTCAGCTCCACTTCCCCGGAGCAAGATCTGTTGTCATTGGACAAAACTATGGAGAAGGTGCACTTTACTTCCAAGTATTCCCCACCAGAGGGCAGTGAAATTATTGTTATTGATGAGGAATTGTGATTTGAGTTTTAACATACAAACACCACAAATTCAGCTGAATGGGCTCTGTTTAATGTGTTAATCACTATAACAATTAACAAATGTATTCCCTTTCATTTTACATCATACAGTAAAGTCTGGACTCATTTGGCTGGATGATATCAATTGTAATGGAACAGAGTATCATCTGTTGACTTGTGGTTTCAAAAACTGGGGAGTAACTGACTGCACCCACAAAGAGGATGTTGGAGTTATCTGTGAAACAGAAAGTAGGTATTTAAACAAAAGTAGATTCTGTGTGATTGTCGCTCTTCATACTCATTTTCTATTAAATATTCATCCCAATGATTTGTTATTCCAGGCACTAATGTGACCAGCAGTGATTCTACGCACTCGCTGGACCACAGTTTCAGTCTCTCTGATGACCTTGGCCAAATATTTGACAGTGGAAATGGCTGTGACTTCCTGATCTCAGTCAACAGTGCCACTGGAAACAAACTGGAGGATGGGAATATGGAAATGGAGGAAACAACAATCTGTGCACACAAAATGATCCTCTTGAATTTCCCGCTCTTTAATGCCCTGGAGGGGATCACCAACATCAGTGTCAACATCAGAGAGTCCTGCCAACCATATGTCACCCCCTTCATCAGGTATACTGAAACTACAATGATTTGTATTGTTTCGAGATATAGAATTCATATTTATATCACCCAACATACATAAAATCTAATAAATATTCTACTATTTGCCTCTCAACAGGTACCTTTACACCCACAAGATAGATGTGACCTTCTCCTCTGTGCAGTGCCTCCACTGGATGGCTTCTAAGTTTGGGGTGAAGCAGCTAATGGAGGACACAGGCCGGCTTCTCTCTAAAGTCCTTCCAGAGGACGCTTCATTCTTCACCCAGGTGTCCATTTACAAATATGCAGAGGAGACTGGGGACATGGTTCTTCAGGAGAACTGTATCCAGTACCTGGCCTGGAACTTCGAAAGCCTGACCAAATCTCCAGTTTGGGCCGACCTATCTGTGGAAATCATAGGAGCACTTCTAACCCGCTCAGACCTGGTGGTGCCAGATGAGTATTTTCTCCTCCAGACAGTAGAGAGCTGGATCACAAAGAAGAGCGACTCCATCAGTTTGGAAACCCAGGTTTACCTGTTGAATCGCATTCGTTTCCCTATGATCCCTGTGGAGAAACTGTACGAATTTGAGTCCAACTCCACTGTTTACAGCACTAATAAGAAAATGTATCAAGAAAACATGTTGAAAGCATACCAGTTTAATGTTCTGCTCTTTAGCAATCTTTTGTCCAACCCAAAGTTCAACAGAGATAATGACTACCTGCCCAGGATCTACACTGCTAAACCATGGAGCACTGCTATTGGCCCTCCAACCTCACCAGAGCCAACCCAAACCCTGTATCGAAATTCGTACAACAGGAGACAGTATGGCTATGATAATCCCAGTTCCTATGTATATGGTCAGACCACAACTAAGTCTTTCCACACACCTGTCCACAACAGCCTTATCTTTAAGCACAACAAGATTAACTGGGAGGCAAATGTCTTCAGGAGTAACCATGAATGTTCAAACCGAGGGGTGAGATGCATTTCGCTCCCAATGGCAAGGCTGGTTCCCCAAAGCCACCTCTCGCAGAGCAACGTCCTCTTTCGTAACCGGCTCCTGCTGTTGTGCCAAGGCAGGTACATCTGTCAGGTTCAGGACTTCAAGGACAATCTGGCTCATATTGCTTCAAATAATACCCTGCTTACCTATCCTTGTCCTGATGACCAGTATGACTATCACTTTGTAGTGAGACCAGAGTATGTCTGAATCTGATTATTTCTCCCACTGGGTGGTCATTCAATAGATTGCAGTCAAATGCTTCCAAGATTATCTGTGTGACTGATTTTTTTTTCATGAATCTCTTGTTGATTAACTACAAATGTATCACCTGGTAATGATTTCATTCATATCATATCAATCATATCTTTATCTGCTTTCTTAAAAAAATAAAAAAAATAAATATTGTTATAGTGATTTCAAGATCTCTCTAGATTTTTGTGTGTGTCAGCACTTTTCTTTTAAAAGATCCAATCTGTCCCTCACAAGACCAGCAATTTATCTAGATAGGAGACGGATGAAAAGACAAGTGTAAATGGGGCCAAGTTAAATTAATCATCAGTCTGATTTATAACTTTTCTCCCCTGGATGTTCGCTGCATTAACATTGTAATATATACCAGTCTGCCAGAGGTTTTTGCCTGGTCCTGTCCAAATTATTAACCATACTGACTTTGACATGAACCCTGCTGCTTTAATAATATCTGCTGTCATAACCTCAACCATTTAGCTGCTGTGCAGCTCACTGAAGGGGAAGGGTTCATATGCATATATCATTACTATGAGTAGTGGAATGATAAAAAGGAGATAAAATGCCTTGCAGTTAAGTGTTGGAAGGAGAGTTAGATGATACAATCAATACCACTGTAGTGTCCAGTCTGCTCTGAAGTGCTCATCAGAGGGTTATTATTGTAGGGCTATTGTAAACACAACAATGGTTGAAGCTCTTGGCAAGCAGCCATCATCACCATTACTCCTGGTAAGATATTCAGCATGGTTCGATGGCAGAGGAAACTTACAAATAGCCCCTTTAAATTGTGAAAACAACAATACACCATTTTGCAAGGGGTTATCTAAAGGACTATATCTTGGCTGCAGAGTCTCTGCTGGTTGCCTGGCAACTGGTAACAGCCAAGAAATATTCTGGCATTTTCTCTATGTAACATGGTAACTAATTAGCTTTAGATATGCTGGTAGGCAGATGTAACTTTATGGGCAGAGCCAGTCTTTGCGCTAAGGTAACTAGGTAATTGCTGTAGCCATATGTTTAAAAAGCAAATGAAAGTGGTATTCATCCTCTCATCCAACTCTTCACCAGGAAGTAAATAGGTGTATTTCCCAATATTTCACAGAAATATTCTTTTAATTAAGCGTTGGTTCTGGCTGCAATAATCTTCTTTTTGTGTGAAGTAACTAAAAGTCATGTTTATCATCACACTTACCCAGCTGTATGAAAACAAACAACATACTTCAAACATGTTGGCTTTAAGATACAGAATGTGAAAGGGGTTTGTGTTAAGAGGGTTTGATTTAATATATGAAGTTAGTTTCCTTTTTATGAATCATGAAACATTTCCAAGCAATTGTGTTTTTACCACACACCAGACAAGTGCCCCTGAATTTCCACTTCGCATGACTGACAGTCACACTCCGACAACATGCAGGCCTGCGTGCCTGGGCAGGTGGACTAAACAGCCATATAATAATACATAGTGACTCATGGGTTTCTGAGAAGTGTGTCTGTCTGTGACTGATCAGTTATAAAGATTACGTGATAACTGAATACATTTAAGATGATTCCTCCACATGCACTCATGGTTCAGTCTTGCACAAACTCACAGCATTGGTTTGGTTGGACAAGGGAGTGAGTACTTTCATTCACAAGTAATTTCATGTCATGCTGTGAGCTCAATGTAAAATAATGTGTTCATCATGAGGGAGCATTTAAATATTTCATCACAGGGTAGACTTGTTTTGTTGTGAGTAATATCTGGCTGTAATTTCATTGTTGTGTAATTTTACCAATTAAATAAACCCCACAAGTTAGAACATACTTTGTTTATTTGGTTTGCCCCAGAATTTTGAAATTCTACTTTGTGGGTTTATGAACAAATACTTAAACTCTCATTCAACCACTTAACCTCTGATGCCCTTCTGAAATTTCCCAGTTTCCCCTTATGTTGAAAAAAAAAAAAAGTTTGTTGTAATAACAAAAACATACAACAAAAAGTAGCAGAGTAAAGCCTTTAGTTCATTCATACACAAAGGGAACTCCCTCTTTGTTTAGTGTGAGCGCTGGGTGATGTGGGGTCATGTCTGGCGGAAGATGTACTTATGTCTTGAGAGAGGGATTCTTAAGTGCAAATTTAAAAAAAAGATGCCACTTTTCACAGATACGTTATTGTGCAGTAAAATGGAAATTTCTAATTGTTGTTTGTGTCCTTTTATAGTCATTTTATTTGAATTTGGCATGATGTATTTGAAAAGTATGGGATATTAAAGCTGCACTGATGTCAACAATGCATCATGTGCAACGTGATAATGATGAGTCCATAAAGAACTGCTAACCAAATCTGCAGTTCTCCTCGAATTTACGAGTAGCATCTCTCAATGCAGAGTGTTGATTTTTAGACTTACAAGTTTACTGTTCTGTTTCTCTGTCACCGCTCTCGCCAGGCTCTCTCGGCCACAGCAGGCAGCTGTAAAAGCAAAGAAAAAAAAAGCTCTGAACTTGAAACAGAGCTTAAAAGTGTGAGTGAATAATGGACTAAGATTTGTCAGGTGGACAGCAACACAACTTCAAATGATTTTTTTTATCCATGTTTGCAATATCTTGTAGCACATTATCCACACGTTGCCCCAGACACCACAGTCAAGGACTGGTAGCATTGTGGCTGTACAATCACTTACTAGTTATTTAAAAGTAAGAGTTCACACATTTGTTACTCATAGTGTTCCAACAATTCCACTGAAACTTACTCTTATAATGTTCACTGGACAGTTAGCAGACAACTCATGGTGACTCTCACACTGTGAAACCACACTGTAGACAGTTTTCATTAAGTCATGAAGGTGAAACAGGTTAACTCCTATTTCACTTTCTTCTTTAAGTCAATGCATTTTTTCCATAGGTCCCTCTCAAAAATGAAATGTGTTCCTGTTCATTACGTTCCATTTTCTGAGACAAATCGGCTTCCACTAACACTTACTATAAGAAATTGAAATATTCATGATTTACCAAACTTAAACATCAATTTCTTTATGAGAAGAGAAAAAAATTACAGCTCCCAGAAAAAACTACAAGCATGGTACTTATATCATTGTAACTTGGTTCCATTCATATCCATAAAACTCACCAACCCTCTCCTCTAAAGCAATTTTTTCAACTTTCTATTTTTTAGTCCTCTCTGTTCTGCTGTGAAGAGGCAAGGAACAGACTTTCCTCCTCTTTCGAGCCATGATGTTTAGCCTGCAAATGTCTAGGCCTTATGGGAAATGGTGTTCACTAAAGGCTTTGAACAATGGTGTGACTTAAATGTTTTCTTGTTTTTTCATGTCTTTCAAGCAGATGTTTTCCTCCCCCTCACTGTCCCTCAAGCGATTTCTGTAATGCTGATTCACTGTCTCACATTGTCACCAATGAAATGTGAATAGCTGTACTGATGAATGGAAAATGATGGGAATTACCAGTGGGCCGTGGCTGGGTCACATCAAAACAAAGATGGTAAAGTGGAGGAGGTGGACATGCATCAGTGGATAGATAGTCGAAAAGCTACGTGGTGGTCAGGTCATATGGGATGTGTGTGGGCAACAGGGCAGAGGAGGTGGGAGTCAAAGGATGTGGGTCATTGCCGCAGCACCCACCAGTTCCCACAATGAGACCCTCTTTTTCTGCCTTACCGGGCACTTCCTTTTAAGAGTATTCCTGGCCTTGCAAGTCTGTAATTTAGGGGATAGAGGTTCGGACCATTCCTAAGCCCCTTTTGGCGTTTGTAGTGGGTAATGTACACAGGGGGGCTGCTTACATTGCACTTCTTTGACAATTTTGCCCTCTTTCAACAAATTAAAACCAAATGTTGATACAATAGTCCAGATCTTAACTGGCAAGTAAAAACCCTGTTCTAAAGGGAGAGTTGTAGTTTAGGAAATAGCTCAGAATGGTCATGCTGTGAGGTCATTTGAAATATGCTCAGGAGCTGGGGGCACGTCTTCAATCTGAGCAGAGCCCACCACATCAGTCAGCATCTCAGTGCAAAGGAAGCTGACTGTTTGGACAGGGGGCGGCAGGCTTTGCCCAGAAGAAGGCGTCTGCTGTTCCTCTCATGCTTTTTGGTAAATTGCAGAAAGAGACGGAAGCATATTTCCACCAGTTTCGTCTTGGATGTGTCACTTCCTTTCATGTGTCTTAATTGCTGTCCCACACCCAACATCTGTGCTGTTGTTGCTGTTACGTCTTTTGTGTCTGGTAACTTCCACTTTCCATTTAAGAGTCATACTGTCTTGCAAAATTTCTAACATTGTGGAAATTTCCTTATCTAACTCATGGCATTCTGACTCTAAGGTAAAGACAATCAAACGTCCAAATTTCCCTTCAGCAAAAAGACGCAAGAGATTTTAGTCATTACAGATATGACATTAAATCCGGTGTCCCATTTTCCTCTCTGCTCCTTCTCTCTCTCCCGGCCTGTTTTTACACAGACATCAGAGACCTGTGGAAAAGCAACCAGGCAAAAATGCTCAACTATGGAAAAGAGTGGAAATATTTGCCAGAGTGGCCAGAAGACCAACAGTCGGTGGCCAAATATGATGTCAGGGAGCGAGGCAGCCACAGCAGATACAGTCCCTCACTCTCTCTCTCTCTCTCTCTCTCTCTCTCTCTCTCTCTCTCTCTTTCTCTCTCTCTCACTCTCTCTCTCACTCCCTTTGGTCCTCTTCATTATTCATCATCAGCTCTAATCATCAAACACACCATGCCCTCACTGTGATCTCTCCCTTCTAAGCCAGAATCAACACGGGAGGCCACAAACCCAGAGCTCTCGAGATCCACAGTTTCCTGAGGTGGCGTTGCTGTGGTGAACATTCCAACAGAACAGCTATCTATTTTTATGCAGGAGTGAGGGACAAGAAATAACGAAAGAATTTGACTATAGCATAATGTTTCTTTCACAGAAGGGCGGAGGAGTTTGGGTAGCTTACGCTCGGGGAAATGCCGCCAGATTGGATCTATTAAGTTTAAGGGGATGATGTCACTTTTCTCCATCCCGCCACACCTCCTCCACTCATCCTTCATTTTTCCTCAGTGTTTTCATGTGTTATAAAAAGTGTTTTGATAGTTACTGAAAGTGACTGTACATACATAGCACTGAAATCAAACCACAGGTAACTGTGCAGTGTGATCTGAGGATTACTCAGCAACACTCACACTAGACTGTTTTCACTTGTGACTTATTGTTAACACAAACGTTTAATTAATGTTTACCAGCCGCAACAGTGGGGCTATAATTGCTTTGACCTTGTGAGTCTGTGTGTTATTATGACAAAATATGGTCCTGGGGACACCTACTATAGCGGGAACTACCACAGAGTTCATAGGTCTGTGGACAATTTGTCACAGCGACAGCATCACACTGGGCAAGTTCCAAAATTTTACAAGTGATTATTAAGTGACACTGAGATCAAAATGACAGCTGAATTCAACGATGGGTGTGGTCTGACCTATGACTACTGAGAATTCATGTGATGATATAGTAATAACTACTGGGTACTCATGGGTTGAATCATGGGGTGATGGTATCATGGGTTGATGGTATCTAGGTTATTGTAAAAATGCATTTTTGTATGTATGTGAATGTGACAGTGGAACCCCAGAAGGCCCCAGACATCAATGTAACATCAGAAAGATGTTGGACTAAAATGACTCTAACATAATTTTGGTTGGAAATGAAAATTAGTTTGACATCAAAACCCAGTGCTGGCTACTTGACATTCTGATGGTAAGGAGACATTGGATTTTGCTCATGACTGGAATATTTTATATGTCAAGGTGCTGTTGGCATGAGACATTTGGAAGGTGTTGGATTTTGGTTATGTAACAACGCAACTTAAAACCAACAATATATAAATGTCAGCTGTTGTTTAGTATTCTTTGTCGAATTGAGGCTGGCTTTAGATGTTGTGTTGACATTGAATTTTGGTACCAAACGTCACAACCTAGATTCAACCAAATATCACTAGCTGCTAAGCACCAAATTGGCAGACAGACACAGTTAGCAACCAGCTGGTGAATATAGAGAAACATTTAGCAGCTAAAGAGCCTGATATTTCCCTCTAGAGTTGGTAGAGACCAAAATAGAGCTAAAAGAAAGTGTTTATTGGACTTAACATTCATCAGGTGACCGGAAATAAGAGTCCAAATGAATGATAATTACTGGATGGCTAAAAAGGCAACTCATTGTTAACAAGTTCACCATGATGATATGTTCTCTGCCCCCATGTAGTCAAAAGATTCAGTTATTGCAGGCATTATATTGCAAAACTATTGAGAAAATACACACACACACACACACACACACACACACACACACACACACACACACAAACACACACGCACACAAACACACAAGAAACACAAAGAAAAAGAAAAAGAAAATTAGAAGACCCACACCTTGTACAAAACAACACTTTCATAAATAAAGAAAATAAGGAAACTATCCTTTCTTTTGTAAAAGTGGTTCAACCTGCAGTGTGACCACAAGTATTCTGAAATACTGTAAGTGTTGTAAAGATGCTGTTACTTTTACTACAGTCAGTGAGGCCAAAGGATGAAGGTTAGATGGAGGTCAGCCCAGAGTTCACCTTCACAGCCACTTGTCAAACTTCCATTAAAGGAATGGTTGAAATTTGAAACATGAAATATGCTTATTTGCTCTTTGGGAGAGAGTTTGATAATAATATTGATACCATTCTCTTGGCTCAGAGGAGCCTTCAGGTTAACAGACATGACATGTTAATTAGTGAGCTTTAGACCTGCAGGTATCCAGGTTTTGTTTCCTTTGGACAGAGCCAGGCTAGCTGTTTCACTCTTTTTTCCAATCTTTAAGCTAAGCTAAGATAACTGGCTAACAACAGTAGCTTTATACTTTCTCATCCTCTATTTTCTATAATTTCACTAATTTTACTGCAGATGTTCAGGGAGCGCTCCTGACTTTGGTGATTATCCTGACCTTTACATTAGCTCAATCATGAGGCCAGATTTCTACACAAACACACACACACACACACACCTAAAACCGTGACTAATTTGCCATGAACACACACACACACACATATACAAACACAAACACACACACAAACACACAAACACACACACATACACAAACATACACACACAAACACACACACACACACACACAAGAAATTAGAAGACCCACACCTTGTACAAAACAACACTTTCATAAATAAAGAAAATAAGGAAACTATCCTTTCTTTTGTAAAAGTGGTTCAACCTGCAGTGTGACCACAAGTATTCTGAAATACTGTAAGTGTTGTAAAGATGCTGTTACTTTTACTACAGTCAGTGAGGCCAAAGGATGAAGGTTAGATGGAGGTCAGCCCAGAGTTCACCTTCACAGCCACTTGTCAAACTTCCATTAAAGGAATGGTTGAAATATGAAACATGAAATACGCTTATTTGCTCTTTGGGAGAGAGTTTGATAATAATATTGATACCATTCTCTTGGCTCAGAGGAGCCTTCAGGTTAACAGACATGACATGTTAATTAGTGAGCTTTAGACCTGCAGGTATCCAGGTTTTGTTTCCTTTGGACAGAGCCAGGCTAGCTGTTTCACTCTTTTTTCCAATCTTTAAGCTAAGCTAAGATAACTGGCTAACAACAGTAGCTTTATACTTTCTCATCCTCTATTTTCTATAATTTCACTAATTTTACTGCAGATGTTCAGGGAGCGCTCCTGACTTTGGTGATTATCCTGACCTTTACATTAGCTCAATCATGAGGCCAGATTTCTACACAAACACACACACACACACACACACACAACACACACACACACACAAATCTAAAACCGTGACTAATTTGCCATGAATTAAACTGAGCACATCCACATTTTTTTTTTTTTTTAGCAATTTTCCTTTAATAGTTAAACTGGAGTGTCAAACCAATGGAATAGTTGTTTGCTGATTTTGTGAGACCCAGATGTACTCACAAAGATAATAAGATAAGGAAATACCTCAGACATAATGACATTATTTCCCCAGTTTTACTAAGTAAGTTTGAGCTTATTATTTGTTAAGGGTTAGATTTTAATGTGAGGTTGAAAGTGAAGTTGATGTCAGATTTAAATCTAGTTGTTTTAGGGGATTGTGGATTCGGATTTGGGGAAAGTTAAGGTAAAAGTTGAGATTAGTGTCATTTTACGGGGGTGTAAGGAAATGAGTCAGTTCTCACGAAAAGAGACGAACAAATGCATTTGTGTGTGTGTGTGTGTGTGTGTGTGTGTGTGTGTGTGTGTGTGTGTGTGTGTGTGTGTGTGTGTGTTTGTGTGTGGGTGAGGGTGACTTAACAGTTGCATGTATGACCCCCGTTTTATGATGTAAACACTTATCCATCTCTTCCTGCGATAGGATTGTGACAGACGGTGACGGGGTTTGTGGGTAGATGTGTAAACTTTTGGGAGCCCCTGACCTCCACAGTCCCGCTGTGCTGACTGGCTGAGACCGCAGCAGGGGAGGAGTCTGCTGCAGCCCGCAGGAATAAAAAGCGACTGCTACTGACGATAGTGGAAAACAGATCGAGAGGAGTTGGCAGGGTGTAGGCTTCAACAGGAATCCTCTCCCTCTCATACCTTGTGCATCTCATAGTTTGACAAGTAGACCGTCTTTTATTCTCTTATAGCTGGAAACTTTTTAAGTTCATATCCTTTTAGGCGCACCGGACTGCTCAGCTGCACAACCGCCTTCATATTTTTTCCCCCTTTAACTCTTTAATTTAAACAGCGTAAATTTTCCAAGATGACCTGGACGGTGAACAGTTGTTTTGTCACGCTGGCCATCCTGTTTCTTTGGCGAGTGGAAGAAATTGCAGAGGCCTGCAGCTGCTCCCCAGCGCATCCTCAACAAGCGTTTTGCAGCGCAGACGTCGGTAAGTTGATTCTCTGACTAAAATGAATTAATACAAAGCAGCATTTAGACATTGTTTGTTTGAATATAAAATGCAGACGATCAACGTGTTTATCCCTTTGACAAAGAAACTGTTGTTGAGAGGGAAACTTTGCAAACTTGCCCTACTCTTATGTTTACAATTACAGAGGGAGGAGGATGGAAATTTCTGTCTCTCAATCTTTCTTTCCACTGCCCTCCTCTCTTTCTCTGTAATCATCTATTGATATTCTTCAGTCTTAATATATAGCCACATAGCCTAATACTTCATGTACTTTTTTGCATTTAAAAAAGAACCATAGTTTAGTCTACAGTTAGTTACTACAGTTTAATAAAAGTAAAAGAAAAAAAAGAAAAGGAAAATATTTGATCAGTTTTTACAGTATTTAATTTGAAAGTTTTGTTTTTTTTAATAACCAGGCATCCAATCAGATAAGCACTTTTAACACATCAGTGTCTGTTGCTGATCAGGGTGATCAGTTTTCTTCATTATTATTTGCACTTCTTTGATTATCATTCATGCAGTTTGTTTACCATCAAAACAGCATGTAAATAGTAGAATTTGTAGTATTTTCTAACTCCTACATCCACATGACTAAACGGTGAAACTGATGACTGGTGCACTTCCTCAAATCCTACTGAATGACCATTTAATTTACTCTTACTCAAAGGCCATGAAGATAGTTTCCCTCTTATTTTACCTATTACAAAACACTACTTGTTGCTGCCTTCAACATAGGCCTTAAGCTAACGAGAGTCTCAACAGTGACCAGCTTGTGTAGCTATTTAAATTGGGGTTTTGCTGAGGGTCTTTTTTCTTGGTTGTGAGCTGGCTGAGTGTGTGGCATGTCTACAGAAGCTGACTTATTCAAAGGTTTCTCTTTACCATTGGATTCCATGGCACTGGAGGGTGAAGAAACCACATTATCCTGCTGGAGAGTTTACTGTAAAGGAAAAGCAGAGTTTTTTTCTTTAACCTTCTTATTGAGATGATTTTAAGTTGACACATCTCAAATTCAGCCAGGTAGCTAATGTAAGAAACATAAAGAGAGTGAAGGAAATTAAAAATTCATTAGCTATTTTTGAAGGTTTCATACATCTTCCTTGTACCACAGTAGAAAGAGGAGCCTTTCAAATTAAAAACTCTGGGTGCACTTTCAGTCATTTGGTCAGGTATAAATGAGCAGGGCTCTGACTATATGGTGGATTGTTCAAACCTAGACTGAAGGTGCTGATACGCATCTGAACTTCCAGACTGATTCATTTTATCAGTCTTTGAGGTCAGGTCCTAACATGACCTTAACCTCCCTCTGCTCCTGCTTCAGCACCATGGATAGACCCTCCCACCAACACACACCAATGTTTTGTCAAGGAGATCAGCCTTTTTGGCCAAAAGGCTTCTTGAATCAGCCTCACCAGGAGTCTTGATAGCCATATCAAACGGTTACTAACAGTGGGGTTCAAGTATTTAAAAAAAAAAAAAAAGACTATCACTCATTTAAAAAGTTCACATTGTGTTTTTGTCACAGCAGAGTTCAGTCAATGTTTGTGAACTTGCACAACTCTAAAGCCAAGATTCTGTGATAAATCTATGTGATTCATTGGTGTATAAAGTCTCTGGCTGCTACATAGACAATGAATGAGTGGATGAACTACTAGAGTGAAAACATAGTAGGCTTATGTTGAGATGGCACATTCAAAATGAAGGTCATTATCTACCATTGTAGCGCCACCTTAATTTCTTATGCTTTTTTTGGTTTAGCTAAATTATCTTGATCTTAGTTTCTTTTCTACTCTTCTTTGATCTGTAGGCAGTTGGAAATTGTGTTATAATAAAGCCATGTTATTTGGATTAAACATAGTATTAATATAGAGAATGAAATATTCCAATGCTGTCTCTACACGGTAAGACACTGCTTTGAAGAACCCCTGCTTAGTGTGAAAGTACTACTTCAGTTGCACAGAAGTAGGGTCAGTTAGAGTGTCTGGAGTCTATGGAAAATTACTCAAGAAGAAGAGTAGCTTGCAGTTTTTGTTGCAGTGACTCAAGTGCAATTCTTTAAAAGTGGGAAGAACAGTCAATGTTTTTGTCACGTGTCAGCATGTCCATTTTGATGATGATTCACTGCATTCAGTTTTCTTTGTGTGAGGCACAGTCAAAATGCAGTGAATAACAGACGTTGAAACAGAGACTTTGAAAGATACTAATGGAAAGTTTAAGTGGGTAGCAGAGCAGAACCATTAATCTAAAAGTCTGATCAAAGCAGACTAGTTTTACAGTTCTCCTTTTCCTTTTTTTTTTAACTTTATTTTACAAGACCCCTGGCTCATTTCTCTCTCCATTCCTGTAAACAAAAAGAAAATAACCAGGTCAGTTTTAGTTGTAAACACGTAGTTCCATTTATCTTGTCAAAACAGACAGAGCAGGAACAAAAAAAAAAATCTTTCCTCATAAATCGAAATCCATCCCTTGGGTCTTTGGAATGGAATGCCGCGCAGTCATATGCTGTGCTCATTATGTATTTGCAGTTTATTTCACAATTCTTGGTGATTACAGAGCGTACCTGTTCTACTTTTTTTTTGAAGAAGGGAAAGCGAATCATTTGAGACCTTGAAAGGAAAGCTGGCTTTGACGTGACTTCCGGTATAAACACAGCCCTGCAAGCTGTGTAAACAGAGCTGACATTAAAACCAGATTTCCCTCCTTTGAGCCAGCCTGAGTGTGTGCAAGCTCTCGCAACAGCTGCTTTAAACTCCAGCATCACCGGCGATAATGCATTGGATCGAGCAGGTTCATTTCAATGTGCCCACTGAAGCAAAAATCACTTTATTGCAGAGCAACTCACTTCTCGAACATTTGTGTGAACATTTGTACATCATCATAAATAAGTTTAATAGTATCATTCAGGTGCCAGAAGGATATTTAGGCTGATGAGAAGATGGTGGATTAATCTGCATATCATTGGAGTGGATCAGTTTGAATTTGTAGTTTAGTTTTTCTCATTCAAAGCCGGACTACGTTGTGGCTTCTCCGAGAGAAAAATGAATGTACAGGCCCTACAATTACATGACATGCATTTGCTTTCTTCTCTTTCTTTCTTTGTTTTTTAAAGCACTCCCATGACCACAATACTACATACAAAATAATGTGTTTATTGTTTGAGTAACTGGAAAATTAGATGGTTCCCTCAGGGAAACTTATCATTTTTTCTAAACTTTTTTTATAGGGCTTGGTCAGCCTTTTCCAGTAAACATCATCATTTCCTGTGAGAATTAGGTATACACTGTATATCAGGACAGAAAATTAAGTTATTTTTCTCAGGTACTTCAACAAGAGGACACACACTGTTACCTTTTTAAAGGAGCTATTTGTAAGTTTTGCTATCGCTACATAGCTAGCGATAGCATTAGCAACTCTTTACTTACCCGTCTAGAAGAAACATCGTTCAGCAACAAACTTCATTCCTTTACTCACCAAGAACTGTCTCCAATGGTGGAAAGCAATGCCAATGTTAACTCTTGTCTCTATCACGTCTTTGCTTCTACTGAAGTTAACATGCTAACCAGCTAGCCCGGGCCCGTCTTGTCACATTCCCATAGTGACTTGCTGTAGCCTCCAATCTGCTTTGAAGACATAGCACTGCTCAGAGGGCGTATTATAAACTCTTGACTTGTAAACGCAACAATGGCCAAAGCTCTTGTCAAGCGACAATGACCACCACCCGCTACTAGCAAGAAACCACGTTCAGCAACAGAGAAAACTTACAAGTAGCCCCTTAAAGCAATAACAGTGAGTGCTTCAGTGGAGTGGGCGTGGCAAAATGGGAGCGTGTTTTGGACTTTTTCTGTTCCTCTTCAAATAATGAATGGGTGAAAAGACACATAACCTTAACCTGCATCTTCTTCTTGTAATTTGTTTATTTTTAGCATATTGAATACATTTTGAAGAGAACACTCTAACCCTCGCAAAGCTGTTTTTAAAACCCAAGTGCTCAAATGATATATTATCATTCACATAAGTTACATACTGTGCATATTTTCACCTGCCCTACTTTACACCAGTGGAAGGAGAAGTGATCTGTGTGCGATTCTGCACACTCAGGCAAAGGGGATTACCACTAATCCACTTTGTAGCCAGAGAAGTTGGAGAGTTTCTCAGCACCCCCTAACTCAGTGTGTATCAGAGTGTTTGAGGGAGTTTGTGATTTGTAAACCAGAAACATCTTGACTGGTGTAGATTATCACTGGGAGCAGTTTGTCATTCTAAATCATGACATGTAAATTATTTGTCAGTATATCTGCTACTTGACAGCAGCTCCAGCAGCACACAGAAAAGTTTGCAGCCTGCACAGCTCGGTGTTTTGCACATTTTCCTGGCTAAGAACTAACCCCCCCCCCCTCCCTCTCTCTCTTGTGCTCTGTAACTCCTCCTCCCCCTGTCAACTTGTATGTTTGTGACAGTATTTCAGTATTGCTTTGAAGGGCTGTCTTAGACAGGACACTGTTAGGCTAATACTGCCTCTGCAAAATGCCTGCTGTTCCTGTCCGTTCCCTCCTCTGTTCCCCTGTTTGCAGAATGCAGCCATCCTCATCACTCCATCACTCTCTCCTTCTGTGCACACACTCTCCTTTTTTCCCTGTTTTCCTTTTGTTAAAGGTCGACTCTTTAGACCCTTAAAAGGAGATGTTCTCTAAGCCTCTATTGTCATCGAATTAGGGCGCATATGGCTCGCAGCTTCATACCTCCATCATATAAAAAGCAAATAAAAAAAAAATAAAAAAAGAGGCTTGATCTTATTTGGTAAGGAAGCAGGCTCGTGATGGTCTGAGGCAGTCAGTCAGTAGCTGCCACCTTGGGAAAGAGAGGACTGAACTGGGACTCCAGAGGGAACATCTGGTTAACATTAGCTCTGTCGCTAGTCTCCTTCACTTAAAAGCTTGATTTTTGAATGGGATTTTGTAAACCTTATTCACTGAAGTAGTCATGTGAATTTACAGTAATCACTGCAACTCGCGTGATACAAGTAATCCATAGGTATTTAGCTACGACCGGCACATGCTATACTGTACTTCAACATTTGGATTCACATGAAAGAAGCAGTGTTTGCGAAACACATGAGTCATTTTTTGTTGAACACTCAGTATTTGAGCTCAAAGGCTCATCCGTATGGCTCTGATAATGTTTTTCCACTTGAACTGTTATATTTTTTTCCCCCATCCAAACCTCTCTGAATCTGGGAGCTGGAACTTAAGAGCGCAAAAGAGAGAGAGAGAGAGAGAGAGAGAGAGAGAGAGAGAGAGAAAGAGGGAGGGAGGGAGGGAGGGAGAAAGCAAGAGAGAGAAGGGGAAAGGCTGCAAACGAAAGAGAGGTTGATTTGCATGTCAGCACCTCTATCCAGACAGAGAGGCAGGCCGGCAGAGAGGCCTGGGGGCGAGGGGAGCGTTTCTAGTTCAGCTTTTCAAAGATTGCTGACTGGCTTCCTCCTGTGTCGGCCCAGGAGCCTGGGAGCAGGCAGCACACATTCCTCCCTCTGATTACAGCTGATGAAACACTCATGTGCCTCTCTGTCTTCCCAGCACCTGGCACATGCAAACTCCACGGATCCAAGCCGCAGCAATGTGTTGTGGCCAACTCCGGCATGCCAAACCTGGGCAGGGCTTAGATCAGACACAGAAAAACCCAGATAGAGTTCAGTTTTAACATGACAATAGTGTTTGAAACTCTGTCTTCAAACGCAACGAATTCAAATGTGGGTTGTTTTGTCTTTTTCCAGTTATCAGGGCAAAGGTGGTTGGACAGGAGGAGGTTGACGTCGGCAACAACATCTATGGAAACCCCATCAAACAGATCAAGTATGACATCAAACAGATCAAGGTACATGGTGTGAAGTTGTTTTCAATTCTCATTTTATGTTTGGGTATAAACCTAATTCCTATTTGAATTTGAATTTGAATTTTTTCCCTCTGTTTGAAATTTTCAGATGTTCAAAGGTCCCAGCCAGAATATTGACGCCATCTACACTGCTTCCTCCTCTGCAGTGTGTGGAGTGACTCTAGAGACTAATGGCAAGGAGTATCTCATCACAGGTAAAATTGCAACCACATTAGCAATCACACATTATGAAATAGAATAAAAATGGTTCCTTTAGGTCAGTTTTCACATCATCTCATTACCTCTGCTTTGCTGTCCCTCCACTGCAGGCAGACTGGAGGCTGATGGGAAGATGCATGTCACACTGTGCCAATTAATTGAGCCCTGGGATACCCTGACTGACACCCAGAAGAAGAGCTTGGTTCAGCGCTATGAAATGGGCTGTGATTGCAAGGTAGAAAAGTTAAAGGATAGTCAGTAGTTAAACTAGAATTTGCCACAAGCTAGAAGAGGAAATATAATCTTGGAAGATGCATTGCTTGTTGTAAGCTCACTCCCTGATCTTGGTCTCTTCTCCAATCCTCAGATCACTCACTGCACCTCCATCCCCTGCATGATCAGCAGCCCAGCGGAGTGCCTGTGGACGGACTGGGTGATTGAGAAGACAGTCAACGGAGAGCAGGCCAAACACTTTGCTTGTGTCAAGAGGAGTGATGACTCTTGTGCCTGGTATAGAGGAGCTGCGCCGCCCAAAAAGGACTTCCTGGACATCGAAGACCCATAACTCCACCACTGTCCTATTGTCTGAGGATGTCTGCAGTTGAAATATACTAAGATATAAATACCAAAAACAGAAATAAATACACGATTCAAATTGTTATTTTGTTTTCTTCTTATTAAGAAAGCTGCAGGGTGTGTGTGCTATGTGGTGAGGTTGGAAAAAAAATTGAATTGTTATGTGTTTTAGTTGCAGGACTCATTATGTTTTTATTCATCAGTCTTTTGAATTCAGCACCTTCTGAAGCTTCTACCCCAAAATCTAAAGCACTTCCTCATAAACCACTTCTCCCTCAGCTGAGATAAAGGGATAATCATCACAATTCAGTGTTAACTCCTCACAGTACTTTTGTTTCTGCGCTAGCGATTTTTGTTTTTTTTTAACAAAAGCTATTGTTTGACATGAACTATAATTCTATAATGAAACACATACATGCCTAAAACTCAAAATGTAACAATTCTGTGAATCTGTGTGTTGTTTAGTAACATTAGCTGGCAATCGGCATCCTGATTTGTGACAGCAGAGCTACCACAAGGAATTAATGCCACCTCTTGCCTGTCCTGCTTCATATTCTTTCTTGTGCTGAGTATGCATATCTTTTCACTTCTGTTTTTTTTTTTTTTAAAGGTGTGGCAAACCTGTTTAGAATAAGAGTGGCACGTCAATGGTCAGATTTCAGATGCCAGCCTGTGCACACAATCAGTGTTTTGTAATTGTTGTCTTTAAATAATCCTGAATAGACAAGAATGCACTTTGAACACAATGGTCACAGCAGTCATAATGTCTCTAATGAAAAATGTCTGAAAAAGAGGATTGAATCCTCCATTTTGTATTTTGTATTTTTTTATATTACAGTTCTTCTCTTTATAATGCTTTAGTAAGTGTAAGAGCATATTTTATTTAAGGAAGTTGTATGATTCATCATAATTATTGAAAAACTGCCCTCATTTTGATACTTTTTATGACAAATGACACATTTGGTTTTGTATAAAGAGAAGACCTAGTATTTTAACAGTATTAGCAAAATACACACATTTTACATGCATTAAAGGTCAAATTGTAGTCTGAACTGTTAACTGTCTAACGGGCTCATCCTTTGTGTCAGTGAATTAAAGAACACATTTTAACCAATTATCAGTTTATTACAAGAGCAATGGGAATGACCATAAAAGTGTTGAACATATGTCAAGTGACTTAATATGAAAATTAATATGAGAGTGTAAAAAAATTCTTCATTTGAAACTGTAGTCAAGTATAATGTCTTGTGCTGGTTTCACATGGGACTTTTGAGATAAGATGATTTTTGCATGCATGTCCAACTGAAACAATACTGTACATTTGACTATTATATTAAATGCCAAACCCTGATTTGATTCACTTTGCACTGGTTATTTTCACATCAAAAGGCTCAGTTTATGGAGACTGAGAAGACTCCAGCATAACAGGCAGCACTTATTCTTAAAAACTTTAATCCAGCAAAGAATCAGAGTTGGTAAGTAGTTATGTAAATAAAAAAATATGTATTTTAAGTGATTGCAGCAGAAGCATAACTCACATAACATTGGTCCAAGCAGGCATACATGGTAGAGGAAGAACAAGACCTCACTTTTGTTCAAGGGAGGCAAAAGTCAGGCAACAGAATAAACAGTATAATACACTTAAGCATGAGGTATCATTTTATGTTTCTTAAGTAAGTGTTTAACATACTTTACAGAGGCAAGGACAATAAAAGACTGCTTTGCGACACTTCAACAGCAATCTGCTGCCGTCTAGTGGAGACAACAACATGTGACATTCACTTACATTCCTTCACGGGCCTATCCATGTGAACAGATGTGCAATATCAAACCTGATACTCACACTCACTACAGGATGGCACAATAGCCTATGAAAAAATTTAGAGTTACTTACAGTATATAACAGTGCAATTGCATTTAAATCTGTTCAATGTTGAAGTGCAATTACAGTAAACTACTTATATTTTTTTCTTTGATGGACTCCAGCAGCATAAAGTTAAATTACAAGCCTTTATGGGAAGTGATATCTAATATGGATGAAATCTGCTGACATTTTACTTGAATTAAATATTTGCTAAATTCAGCAGCGATGGGGAAAATTACAGGATGGAGGCGATTTAATTTCTCAAGTTATTTTCATACGATCGAGCAGCGGCTTCATTCCAACACAATGATGCAGGTCTAACATGTACAATGCCATTTCAGCGCTTTTTGTTGGAACATTAACAATTATTAACATGTACCGTGTCGATTACATCAATGGTAAACAGCGCTGGCTGGAAGTCACGTGTGGTTTTCTCTCGACAGCTCTGCGTCAATTGCAGTACTGATTGGCTGAACCCTTCAGCGACGGCATGGCCTGCTCTCTGATTGGTCTTTCATCCCTGTCAGTCATCGTCGTCACCGCCCTCTGATAATGCAGCATGGGCGAAAATACCAGACCCAAGAGCTACAGCTGAGGAAGCAGACCCCTCTACTGTCAACGATTTTGGACGACTGAACGAAAGGTAAGTGAACAAATGCCCACTGGATGTACCCGTCATGTGTTAGAATGCATTTCCAGGATGATGGTGTTAAACCAACAGGTAGGATGTGGCGGCTGGGGAATGTTAGCCACCTGGACGCCGAGATGCTAACACCACATTGCAGCATTGAGGGAGGCTGGAGGCTCTCGCCACGTTAAGTTAGCTCGCTTGCTAATTTGCTGCTGCTGCTGCCGCTGTCAAGCGTCAAAAGGCAAAACACGATACATTTGTCAGCAGGAAAAGGCAAATAATTAAATATCGAAAGGTTTACGTATTTGCCAAGGTAATAACGACGTTTTATTTCTGAACCTGAGACCCTTCGGGTCGTCATTAGCTGTGCTTAAGGTTAGCAACCTAGCATTTAAGCTATGATGACTGGCCCGAAGAGTTGAGTACTGCTGGTGTGGAAGAGGCGACCCAGCTACTGCATGGCGTTTATAATGGTAATTGCCGACCGGGAGAACTGAAACCCCGTGTAATCGAGCAGTTTACTAGTTGTCCAAACAAGCTAAAACGATGGAGGGTTTTTAGAAATGACAGCAATAACGGTGCTGCCTTCAGGTGCTCCCCCTAAAGTCCATCGTTCATATTTCTAATCCACGAGTGAATACTTGTAATTTGAGGTTTGTGGTGGTTTCATATAAATAAAGCACGTTGTAAGAATATGTTGGCTTTTTGGTTGCTGATGTTGTTGTATAGATATTAAGTGTCCAGTAGCATTTGTACCAGAAAAACAGTTGAAGATTAAATCATTTGCCAAGAGAAAGTTGTAGGCTACTCTTATAAATTAATCGAAATGCTAAACTCTTATCTGTGCTGTGTCTGGACAAATGGTGTCTCTGAAAATCTCGGGATCGCCACACACATGGTTCACTTTGTTCTGTTCTGAATCGTTATTGCAATATTTTTGGGAGCCCTTGAAGTCATCACATGTCTGCCATCCTGTCATTTAAGTCATCACTTTCCTGTATGATCTGAAGTGATATATACATAACTAAAAATAAAATGATGTAAAATGTTTAAAATGCCCACCAGAATTTACCAAAGAGTCTTAAGTGACTCTTTGATGCTCTTGTTTGTCCAACCAACAGTTCCAAATAGATATTTAGTTTCCTGTCAAAATTTACAACTATGGATCAATTAATTGTTCTAGCTCTAACCACTACTACTCAACTTACTTGCCCAATTTTGCCAGCAGATTTATTGATAAATATTGACTCTTGGAGGTATTACGTTTTATATTCATTTTTAGCATGTAACAAATGTGTTGCATATATGTTTGCAAATTATTTATGTTGCTCAGCTGCTATGGTTGAGTTATAGGGTAGAGAATTGTGACATCCAACACGCAAGAGGTGGGCTTCTATACAGCACTGTATTTGTTGAGATAACTTTGCACACAAACACACCATTCTACCAGTCTTCTCACACTTTCAGATGCATTTTCACATTTCACACTTCACAAGGGAATTATATAAAAAAAAATACAAAGTAAAAAAAAAAAAAGTCTTCTTGGGTATAAGCAGATGTATTTGGTTTTGCCACCTAAATAAAATCTATATATCGGAAACACAGTTGCACCATTTAAAACTAATTATAATTAATATTTTTGCTCTTGTAGTAGAGCGGTTCTGAGTCAGACATTGATAATGAAGCTCCATGAAGATTTCTCTAAGATTAACATTTAGCCTGTCTCATTCAGCTTGATACACCCATGCTGTCACTTTCTTTACCACCCATTTCTGTGTATTTTACCTACTCATACACTGTATATAGGTCCTACTGTGATGCACCTATGCACCTTTACATTTACCAATATTATCTGTACCTCAAAGGAAACTGGCAGTTTGCTTTGCTAATGTTTGGCCTCTATCTTCTTCATCAGATGTAGGATTTAGGGTGATAGCTAGCGCATTTCTACAAGACAAGTAAAGTATTGACACCCAGCTAGCTAAAACAGTGGAAGATACAATGCAACATTTAAAAAAATAAATAAATAAAGTTTTTAGGTTTTAAGCATCCACATCCATAATCGACATTTTAAGTGAGATCTCTCTCTATGCAACTGCTATCAATTTCGACATCAAAAGGCATCTCTCATTACCTGTTGTAATTTGATACTTAATGTAAACTGGGGTTGACAGTTCTGCTTGTTTGACCAGTTGCATTATAAGACTAATATATTGTATATATGTACTTGTATCCTCAGCTAATATCCATGCATAGATATCAAGACAGGTGAATAACTCACATCACTTTACAATATTAAAAAAGTTGGAACCTGTAGTGACAGGACTTCAGGTAATTGCTCATTGTCAGCCTAAAATGCAAATGTAAACATTAGAAAGTTTCAGTGTGAAATAAAAATGACAAATAGTTAAGGCACAATAATCAGATTAAACACCTGTGTTTATTGTCATGACATAATAATCGGATTAAACACCTTTGTTGTGGTAAGTGTATCAACATTGCTGCCTGGTCTAGCAGTTGCATCACTGCAGTTAGCTGTGTCCCTGCGGGCTGTGTCGTTTTTGGTTCTATCAGTATCAGCAGCACACGAAGGTCACAATGCCCTTGTGCATACAATGCATTTTCAGCCCTCCTTCTCTCCTCATGACGTCACAGGCCACTCTGATTAGCTCGACTCTCATGGCACTCCATGCCTTTGGTGTTTTTATTGTGGTACTGTAACATCTGCATGATGTAATGCTTTCACTCTGAGGAGGGTGTGCTGTGTTTGGGGCACCTCGGATACATCCTGAGTAAATTGAGGCGATAGGTGAATGAATGATTGGTTTACTCACTACCCAGTCAGCACCAAACTCATTTTGCCAGCTGCTGCCTTTTGTAGAAAATACCACGTCAGAAGTCATTCACTAGGCTGACTCTGGCAGAGGGTTGTTGTGGAAATGTGCACACACTATTATCTATACTGAACTGGTCCTTTTTAGTACTCTCAGCTCCAGTGTATTTAAAGGGACAGCAGACAGCCAATGCAAATATATTTTTTTCAAGCAACATTTATCGTTGAGTTGATTATCTTTTTTATCTCTCACATCACCAATGACAAAATTTGATGAAGAAACGTGCCACGTTACAGAGTTAAGATGACAATGGAAACACTGATGCAGGCATAAAATGATATGTATGAGAATTTGACTTGGCAGTTAACAGCAGCTGCTTACACCTCATGTGCTCTAAACACTCATCCTCTCCTATCTCATACACACTCCACCACCCTCTGTTACCAACGTCTGATGTCTTGCATAACTGTGGGGACAGCTGCCAAGACCCAGCTGGCTCCTCAGATGCACTCAGTCCCTGTATCTATTGTGGAGCCACGTCAGGATATGTGGCCTGCAGAGGTACATATTGAAGCACAAACACACAGGGGTGTTAATAGGCACTTAGCTGGGGGATAAATTCAACATTTATTTGATCCACAGGTTTACTGTTGCTCTTTGACAGAGACAGTCAAGGTACTGAGGTGCCTTTGAATAGGGTGTAGACGTGTTCACTTTGGAGAAATTGGGTGAACAAGTTTTATTAGATGTTTTGTGCAGCCTCCTCTGTTCGAACAATTTACGATACTGACACCCAATCTGTGTTTCTCCGCAGTGATGTTCCAACAATGCCGATAGTGGATAAACTCAAGGAGGCATTAAAACCCGGTCGAAAGGAGACAGGCGATGAGGGTGACCTCAACAAATTGTTGGCTTCTTCTGCCAAGAAGGTCCTTTTGCAGAAGATAGAGTTTGAACCTGCCAGCAAGGGTTTCTCCTATCAACTGGACAGCTTAAAGAACAAGTATGTGATCCTCAATCCCAGGAATGAGGGCGCTACGGGGCAGAAGGCCACAGAGCCTGCCCAAATAAAGAGGCAAGGTAAGCTCTAAAATTGAACTAAAAAATTAGCAGAGTTTGATAGTTAGACATTTTCCATAGTTATCTTTTATTCTTTGATTCTAGCTCTAAAAGCTCAGATCCTGTGTTCTTGTGATTAATGTCACAAAATTGACTGCACTCCTCATTCAGTCTCAGAGAACGTGGTCGGGGGCCAGAGCGATGGGATCCCTGCCCCACAGAAGATGCTCTTTCCAGGGAACAAGCTTACCCTCAAATGGGAGCGTGTATACAGGGTGGGAGCTGGCCTCCACAACCTCGGAAACACCTGCTTCCTCAACTCCACGGTGCAGTGTCTCACCTACACCCCGCCACTTGCCAACTACTTACTCTCAAAGGAGCACAGCCGTGCCTGTGAGTACCTGAGTCATGCTCTTAAAAGCTGCCAGAGTCACAGCATTTACACTGCCATTCATTTACATTTTTACTAACACTGTGCTCACCCAAACAGTTTTAAGGCTGGGGAAATGACTGTAACCCCACTACTGTTACTCTAAGCGCAGACACATGTGCCTGAAAGTCACTGTGGAATGCAAGCCAAGGCAGCTGAAGAAGAAACACAAACAGCTGCTTCAGTGTGTTCACAATAAGTTGTATTCAGGCTCTGACACACTTAGCAGTCTATGATCATTTTTAAGAACCCAAGATAAGAAAGACTCATTGACCTCTAAGTAACAGAGCTCTAGGTTAATTTGTAGTAGTATGGAACATTCTAAATGGGCTAAAAATTTCTACTACTACTAAGACTACTTTGGTCCAGACCAAGCTGCAGATGCATAAATTAAATACTCCTTTAATTCATCCAGACTTATTACAGGTGACACAGACATTGAGATCTTTAAACCTTTGAAACTGCATCAAAATTGCCCATATGAGGGACAAAACGGCTTGATATAGGCTCGTCAACTATTGCATTGTCATACATAAAATGCAAATGTGAGTGTCATTATTTTCAGTTTTTACCAATTATCACTGAAATAATGTTTTTTAGTTATTTTAGTTCCTGATTTCCAAAAGTTTTTGCTTTTTGTTTTTTTTCTCTCCTGCAACAATACGCTGTTCAATAGATATTACAGTAATTGAGGTGCTCTTGCAGCAGGCACAGCTCACAATATGTTTCAGATAATAGAATGTGAAAAGATGAATTGTGAAAAAACGAAAATAAGCTGCTGATCTCTTTGAGTAATTATCATTAGTCCTTCAAATTGAATTTTGCAAATCATTATTTTACATGTCACCTTTTAAGTGCCAATACATTTTGGAATATTGTTATGAAAAAATAAAATCAGAGAATGATCAGCGTGTTGTTGCATGTCTGTGCCATTATTCCTGTGGATACCATTACCGTGATTCTGACCTTCATTTTTAATCAAATGTTTTGACTCTGTAATTACTGTGGATTTTGAGTTGGCTACTGTGTGATAGAGCCACATCAAAGACAGATTATTATCCCTTTGTGATGAACACTAATGTTTTTCTGAATCTGAACTTACCTTAAGTGATATTAAATTTTTATTGGGATAGGAATTGAATAAAAAATATCTTTACCATTGTCCGCATAACACATTTTTGTACTTTTCTTTTGTGAGTGACTCTGATTCACTTATGCTGTTGTTGTCTGTGTTTCAGGTCACCAGTCAGGCTTTTGTATGATCTGTATAATGCAGAACCATATCATCCAAGCCTTTGCCAACACAGGCAATGCCATCAAGCCTGTCTCCTTCATCAGAGACCTGAAAAGTAAGAAAGCTACCTTCCCTCAACGCTGTGTAATTGTGTGTGAGCAGTTTGTGCAGAGTTTCAATGTAGGTTGTGTCAGGAGTCGCAGCCACCTGGGTTTTTTTTTTTATGGTTGAATATTGCCAGAGGCACGGTGACGCAACGCTGGCCACAGTGTCCCATGTGATAGCAGGCAGTAACTGCAGTACATAAGTGGAGCGGTGAGGCTGCAGGCTGTGAATGAACATCATGTAGAGCATAGGGATGAGTTGTGAGTAGCACCTTGACATGGTGAGGTACTGTGCTGTACTCCCAGAGGAGCCCTCCCTACCTGCCTGCTACTTTCTTATGTGCTGCTGCAATTATGTCTCCACCTCCTGCGCCTCTTTTTCTGTCTCTCCCACCCCCTCCCACACTCTCTTCTTCCCTCCCCAATGCCCTCTCTGTCTCCTTGTGACTGCAGGCTGAGAGGAGCAGCTTTAGCACAAAAATGTACAGTCTTTCTTTCCCCCTTTTTTTTTTTATTTTGTTAAAGCAGGACTTAGACATACACTGCATGTGTTTTCCCTCTACATTCATGTATTTGTTGGCCTCCCTGCGGTTAGAAATGTGCCACCACAGCTAGAACAATGTAAATGCATACAATGAAAATTCAACATCTGTGTCTCTTGCGCAGCACGCACACCCCCTCCCAAAAAATACAAATACAGCGCAATGTCATCACATAAAAATCGAAAGAGCTTACTGCAACTGATGCAGGAATCGCCCCAGGATCTCATAGCCGGGGTCTCACAAACACAATAAAACCACAACCGTCCAATATACAGGAATACCAACAGATTTCAAATCCTCAAGATGTCCTCGTCTTGTCTGAGAGGTGCCCTGAACAGGTCATTAGTGCGTGGTGTCTTATTCCTTTTTCCCACTCAAGGGTGACTCATTGTCGTAAATCTGCCAGGATACTATGCTGGGAATGTGGTGATGACCACATTATAATTCTACCAGCTCATACTTTCCCCCTTTTCCATTAGGGAATAACAGTAGAGGCAAAGGGTTTAGAGCTACATTAGCTCTAATGTGAGACTGTTAGATGAGACATCAGTCTGCTGAAATCACTAAGTGACTGTAAGCTTTTTATTAGATCATTATTGAACCGCTTGTCTGAGTTGCATGAGGAACCAAGTTTAGAGGGCAGTAAACCATGAAAGAATACTCTTTAAACTTTACAACATATTAAACTATCTTCACTGATTATTACTTTATAAATATGCCTATTGGCCATGTATACACATCTTAAATAGTTGAGACTAAGCCGCTACTCTATATTACTGCAGTATGAATTGTGTTTGAAATGAAGCTGTGCAATAAGTTGTCTAGAGGCCATAACTGTGTGGCCACTTGTTTACATACTTTTGCGTCCCAGGTTCTGAATTGGATCACTTGTCTTTTATTGAGCCTCTGTGTTGTTTTGCAGAAACATATTTTTAGAGAATGCAAGTGTCAGCAGAACAAAGGGTTGTTAATAACGCTGCCTCTGGCTGCCACTTTGTTGTCTATGGATTGTCTGTCTGTGTTTGAACTGTCAGTGGTTAACATTAATATAATAAACATTTGCCTCTGCTCTAAATAACACACTGTAACTCTTAATGAAACTCACTACAATGAAGATTACTTGCCAGTTAGAGATAAATAAACATTGTTTTGCGCTGAACTCTTCTGTCTCAGTAAGTGGATGTGGCGAATAAATGAAGAACTGTCACAAAGCACTTAATGTTTCTGAAGCACTCAGTGTTGGAAACCTTGAATGAGCACAAAGCTAACATGCACTTGTGTCTCCAACAGAAATTGCCAGACATTTTCGTTTTGGAAGCCAGGAGGATGCCCATGAATTTTTGCGGTACACCATTGATGCCATGCAGAAAGCCTGTCTCAATGGCTACCCAAAGTAAGGCTTTTTTTTTTATTGTTTCTCTTACATGTTAAAATATGATATGTTTTGTATGAATATTGTTTTTATGGTCTTTTTCTCTGTTTCCTTCCTGTGCGTAGGCTTGACAGGCAGACCCAGGCCACAACACTGGTTCACCAGATCTTTGGAGGTTACCTCAGGTCAAGAGGTATTGGCTGTTTTTTTTTTTTTTTTTTTTTTTTTTTTTTTAAACAGGGAGAAATGTAGAAAAAAATGTTCTGTTTTTGATATTGCCTTATTGATCCATTTCCCAGCAGACTGGACTAAGTCTAATGTCAGTGTCAGCAAAATGTATATCGCTAAAACAGCCGGAAGTAGTTCAGTGCTCTTAATCACAATGCATGGAAAAAGAGGTGCCATACTGTACATCTGTATCTTTTCATAGCTTAAGATGCCTCTGGTGAAAATGTTGTTAGCAAGGCTTTAGAGGAAAAAAATAAGTTATATAAGTTAAGTTATTCTCTAAGCTCCATATGCTTTTACTGCTACCAGTATTTTTTCAGATGCTCAAGATTATTTTAGTATCACCTTTAGATCTTAGAAATCACATTGTGTATGGTGTGTTGACCGACGAAATCCACTATTTGAATTATTTCAATTTCTTCAGTCTAAATGAAGTTGATTGTAAGTTTGAGCTTAAAACTGTTTGTAAGATGCTACTTGTCAAGATATTGCATAATAATTATATCAAACTAGGATATTTACCTGGTTGCAGTGGTGTTAGTTTTGTGCAGAAACTGACGACACTCAAAAATGTAACTGGTGAAATGGAAAAGAGTGTTGAATGCAAAGGTAATTTCCCTAGATGTTTGATCTGAGAGTCAGAGGCAGTTGTTGAGGTTTGTGATCGTTTTGTGTTTACAGGAAGTGGAGAAGGTGCTTGTGTGAAATACTCCAGTAATGGCTGTTACATTGATGATTGTAGGATTGTTGTTCTGCAGAAATACCTCCCAAGTACAGGAGTCAGATTGTGTTTTTGTTTTTTTCTTTCAGTGAAATGCTCTATTTGTAAAAGTGTGTCTGACACATACGACCCGTACCTGGACATTGCTGTGGAAATTCGGGTAGGTTACAAGATCTTAATGTGTCTTTTATTTCCATGGAAATATTAAATGTATATTGTTTCTCTAAACGTCAGCTGTGCTGAGTAGATTTCTGTCGTTGTCTTTTAGCAAGCAGCAAACATCGTGCGAGCCCTGGAACTGTTTGTTAAACCAGATGTATTAAGTGGAGAGAATGCCTACATGTGTGCCAAGTGAGTGCCACTTGTCTTGTCTGGCAACATACATTCATAACTAAAACTGCAAGACATCACTCTTTCTGTTCTTCTCTCCAGGTGCAAAAAGAAAGTGCCAGCAACCAAGCGTTTCACAGTCCATCGAACATCTAATGTACTGACCCTTTCGCTGAAGAGGTTTGCCAACTTCAGCGGAGGCAAAATAACAAAGGTTAACAAAGAATTCTCACACCATTGGCTGTTTGAAAGAGCTGCCTCATTTCTCAGTGTTTCTCATTTTTCCATCTGTCTTTTGTTTCTTTTCTCAGGATGTTGGATACCCAGAATTTCTGAACATCCGCCCCTACATGTCTCAGAGCTCAGGTGATCCTGTTATGTACGGCCTCTATGCTGTTCTGGTGCACTCTGGGTACAGTTGTCACGCTGGACACTACTACTGCTATGTCAAGGTAAGGCCTAAGACCAGATGCAAATCTTATTTCAAGATCTAAGGATAAACACATTGAGATGAGCCACCTTGTTTTCGTCCGCTGCCACAGAAACATTGACATTAACACACCAACACACCAAAGGCAGATAGAAACAAAGAAAGGAAAAATGGCTCCATCATACCTGGTGGACTGATATTATAGCACTGTACAAAACAACACATCGAGTAATGAATAGAAATAACAACTGGCCATAAAAATCTAATTGTTCCCAGTTCAGAACATATGGTTTGCTATTCAAGAACTATTCTCTTTAACAGAGAACTAACATTTAGGTGTAACATTAGTATTTCATACTATTATTAGTTGCTTAAATGTTGGTTTACTTTGATATCTTTTTTAAGTGGTAAGTGTAGAAATCTGCAGTATGGATATAATTTTCCATCTCTGCATTCATAATTTATATAATTTATTTTATATCACAATATCAACATCTATGCTAAATTTATATTTATAGAAAATATAATTACAGTAGCTAGTTTGCTTCTGGTTAATACCTGTAAAAGTCAGTGTACTGTATCACATTGTTGCATCCTGTATTGCCATAAAGTTGTCCTTTTCATTAATGTGCTCATGGCCTAATATATAACCACTTATATTAATGACTCTGTATCAATGTCATTTTTTTTTTTTTTTTACTTTTTCATAGGGTAACTGTAAAGAAATAAAAGTTAAATACATTTCACAGCTAAGTACTATAAAAGGTTAGAGTTATGGTAGCCCTCTTGTTATCTTTATTTTAAATGTTGATCTCTTCCTTGTTTCCTCTTAGGCGAGCAATGGACAATGGTACCAGATGAATGATTCAATGGTGCACTCTAGTAACATCAAAGTGGTCTTGAATCAGCAGGCTTATGTCCTTTTCTACCTGAGGTAAGACACAGGAGTCCTGCAAGAGATCAAAACAGGTGTTGTCTGTTCCTCCTGGACTTAAATCTTTATTTGTATATTAAAGGATTCCTGAAACCAAGAAGAATGCTGATGGGCAGACCACCAAGCAGGGGATGTTGCACCCTGGGAAGAACAGTGTGTCGTCTGAACAGATAAAGCGGGCCAACCTGAACGGGCCTCTCTCCTCCCCGCAGGTCACAAAGGTATAAGACAAGACGTTTAATATGAAACATTTTGTAAAATGATGAATCCAGTTTTATAGCCTCCAACATTTTGGTCAAATATGATTTTACTACAAGTTCCCCTCCTCTTCCCCTCACAGAAAATTGAGCCTGCACAACTGCGAAAGATCCAGTCTGTGGATGGTGGCTTGGGCCTGCCTATTTCCAGGAACGGTGTAAATACTCAGCCACAAGCCAGACTTTCCAACTGGACGTCATCCTCCAATGGCCCACCGAAGCTGCCAGGTGGACCCACGGTTATTGAGGAACCTTTCAAGAAGCTGAAGAAGCCCTCCCCCCAGAGCCAAGTGCAGTCCCGCAGCACCACTCCGACCCCTTCCAACAACGGGCTGAGCAGGACGGAGGGAGATAAAAAGCAAGGTGGCGAGGGCAGAGGCATTGCAGCATCTACCTCATTTAAGTCTTTGTCTGACTCTTCCTCTGCCGACACCACTGACTCAAAGGTAACACTAGAAGAATTGATTGATGTTGATCCGCACAAATGCATACGAGCTATTTAACGACACAGGGAATAGTGAAAAAGCAATGCTGACAAAAACTGTCCAAACTTAATTATCAAGCCATCTTCAATGTAAAGTCTGATTTGCTTAGTACATGAGGTAAAATGTGTTAGCGGCTCAGACATTAATACAGATTTTGATTGTGGAGTTTAATGAGATGCATAACAGCCATTTCAGGCCACATGTGCGTGCACAGAAGTGTAACCACAGCCTATGATTCCCTTCAGGACTCCGTGGGTACCAAGAGCGCGCCAGTAGGAGAGACGCCCTCCACCCCTCGAAAAAGCTCCAACGGCCTGGCATCTCCAGCCAAGAGCGTGGAGCGCTCTCAGAGCACGGAGGAGCAGAAGACGGCGAAAGTAAAACCCCCAGCCCTCAACAACATCACATCTGAAGCCACCAGCACCATGTCACCTCCACCTGCCAAGAAACTGGCCCTGTCAGCCAAGAAGGTGAACTTCATTCCCATCCACAGCAGCAGCACCACTTCCTGTCTTAGCGCAGGCTCATGATACCTTAGTTTCCTGTTGCCCCACTCCACACTGCTATCCCAGATTTGACCATTGATTTCACTGAGTAGTTTTATTAAGGCAAGTAAACTCTCCTTTTCTAGTTTATTTTCTGCATTATGTAACATGTTGTTTCTCCAGTGTGCCTGTCTAATCAACCACATGGTAGCACTTGTTTAGAGTTTGTCTTCTTTTCCTTTAGTTTGTTCTTTTTTTCTAACCATTTCTAATTCTTCTCTGCCATACCCTTTCCTCCTTGTTTTCCTCCTTCCATCTTTTCCTGCCATCCCTTTTAATCACCCCCTTTTCCTTATTTGATTCTCTTCCTTATTTTTGTCACATTCATGGCTATTTTCTTTTAGACCACCAAGTTTTTATTTATGTCGATAACTGCAGGCTCGCAGCCGGAGTCCGAGCAACATTGATGCTCTGCCCCCTTTGTCACGCCAGCTGTCCAGTGACCCCACACATCAAAATCAACTTAACCCCCTCACCTTCGCCTCACCTTCTCACACTCACAGGTATGAAGTATGAGCCTTACATCACATCGGAAATTCAAATAAAAATGTGAAATGATGATGGCAGTGTAAATCCAAATGTTTTCTTTTGTTCTGTCCCCAGAGCTGGTCCATTCCATTCACCTAAAGTCCAGTCATCGCCTTTTGCCCACTCAAGTGGATCCTTCAAACAGCAGAGCCCTCAGAAACAGTCCCTTCTCTCCACACTGCAAAAACCAAACGCCAGCCTTTCTCTTAAAACCAACGGGCTTCACAGTCCCAGCCCAAAGAGCCCCAAGTCTTCCAACAACCTCAGCTCCGCGGTCCAAGAACCAGACCTCAGCAGCCCTTCAGCTCAAAAGATCAACCAAAAGAAGAAGAAGAAAAAGAAGCGGCGCCATTCTGAAGTGGAGGGTGACACAGAGCCAATCATATCCCCAGCTACGGTGACGCAGGCCAACTTCGCGGAATCAGCGAGTGAGAAGAAGCGCAAGAAGAAAAAGAAAAAGCGAAAGAGGGATGCAGAGGATGGAGAGAAAGCCAAGGAGAGGGAGTGTGTCCCGTCTCATCTAGACACATCAAACCAGGAAGAGGATTGGTGTCAGGGTGGCATATGGAGTCTAACATCCAACCCAGAAGCTAAGCAAAAGCCTCAGTTAGCTTCCACAACCCCAACGCAGTGTGAGGCAAATCAGAAAGAACAGGGAAGGGACTCTGTGTCGTTGAAGAAGAAGAAGAAAAAAAAGAAGAAGATTAAACTGTTGGAGGCTCTGCAGGAAACAACATCAGCATGCTCTGCATCAGAAAGGTTGGTTGAGGGTTTGCAAGTGTAGTAACATGTCTGTCTTTGTGTCTCTGGAACGGTATATATCCATGATTCTTCATTTTGGTTCAAAAAGTGCTGCCACAAGTTAAAAAAAAAAAAAAAGACAGGGCATATGACCTCAGGCTCTTTGACTGAACTGTGCTTATGTCCAACTATCAGACACTTATAGAAACTGTCACAATGCAGCCCATGTGCTACATCCTTACAACAGTAACAAACATGTAACAGACAAGTATGTGATACTAAAAGTGTTTTCATTATTAGTCGGCTCTCTGTAAAAAAAAATTTGACATCTGGCATGCTTCTCTAAAAATATTTAATTTGCTCAGCCTTGTAAAAATGTAGGGTAAAGTGCAGGTAAAGCAGGTGCTTCATTACCTTTTCATCTATGAACACACCCGCTGTTTGCAAAAAGAACATTAACTTAGCTGAGAATTTTCTTTTGTTCCCCAACAGCAATTCTGAGATGAAGGCCACAGCCGTTCAGAATGACACAGGAGATTTGATAATGTTGAAAAAGAAATTAAAGATGAAGAAAAAGAAGAGGCTGAAAGAAGAGGTGAGACTGTGGGAGGAGAGCAGGCGATGTTCTGACGGGCAGAATGATGAGCCTGAAGCAGCGGAGCCCCCTTCAAAACAGAGCACCACAGAGAACGACAAATTAAGCAAACGAAGCACAGGTATGTGGGCATGGATTTGCATGCACATGTAGTAAATGCAATAAATGAATGAGCATTCATGCTATGCAGACTGCAGTGAAAAATGCACGATCTTGCTCCCATGCCAACACGAAACATACCAGCACCCTTCTATATGGATTGGACCTATTTGCCGAAAATCACTGTGCACCACCACAGCCTTTCAGCCTTTCCTTTGAGTGACCAGTCATTGCACCAGTATACTGAGAGAGCATGACTCATTGTATTTTGAGAATACTTTATTTAATCACCATTTTATTTCTTTCTACTGATTGTTTTTCCACATCCAGCCACAGTGGTAGTGTGGGACAGCCAAGTGAAGGATGGTTACAAACGCAGCCAGGCTCCAGCAGCTGATGGAAGTGCATTAGGAGACAACACCCCGGCCTGCGCTGCTCCTGTGGCCTGGGATGGAAAAAAGACAAGTGGTGTGGTAGAGGAGCTGCTCAGGAACGCCACAGATAAGGCCTACGGAGCCAACGGTGAGACACTGAGTTTCTTTGTGTATTCACACCTTTGTATTTGTTGCAAAAAATGAGCATTTATAGATTTTGTTTGTCTTGTCTAGTTCTCAGTTGGGATGGTGAGGTCTCTGCAATCAGTAGAGATGCCATTGAAGATGTCCGCCTTGCAAAGAATGACACTGTCATCGATGAGTGGGATGAAGACTTTGATAGGGGAAAGGTGAGGAAATGATGAACACAACATATAATGCCTTAAATGTTGGTGCTTCTTAGGTATTAAAGCACAAATGTATTACTGCCAGTCTTATTCCTCATTGTCCATGCTCTACAACTTTCCCCTTTTCTCACTTCTCAATCTACAGGTGAAGAAAATGAAAAACTATAAAAGAGAAAAATGGAGAAGTGGCAGCAGCATCTTCCAGAAGATCCAGGACAGGAAGAACAAGTGGTCTGTAACACCCGGAGGGAAGAGAGTTTTTGGAGTGCGTCGCTGAGAGTCCAGAGTGCTGTTAAGGTCATGCTGACTGGAAATCAAGACAATACTGTATACCAAACTTTTTCTCTTTTTTAATTTTTTTTTTTTTTTTTTTTATCTGTCTTGTGTTCACTTCAGACCCAAATTCAAAAATAGGATTGAGCCAAAAACAGCACAGCAGACTGCATTAGCTGTTTGACTGACAGACCCTTCAATCCTAGGTTACTAACCAACAAGAAATGTTGTCTTCATTGGCCATCTGGATTTGACCACTCATATCCCTTTTTAATTCAAACGCCACAGTAAGTGGCATAAGCTTTTCTATGCATGCAATATTTAACAGAAAGCCCTTACACATCCATGTCACGTGTATTACTGTATGTTGGCGTCCTTACGGCCTTAGTTGTTGCCCTGGAACTCTGAGCTACTATGAAATTAATTACAGTTTACCATATTTGTGAAAGATATTGCTAATAATGAGGAAGTATATCTGCAACTCTTTGGTGTGTTTTATCAAAACCTGTGCACAATCTCAGAGCATACTATGCTGCTTTTGCAGACATAAGGGCTCAGTAAGTTGGACATTAAAGAAGTGACCTTTTATTCTGAAATTACTCTATACTAAATTACAAAGATCCAAAATTGTTAGTCATTAAAACTATATATTTTTATTTTATTTTATACCTTTATCTGCTACGTGGCTTTTTTTTAAGGACCAAATTTTGCCTGCGTATTGTTGGTAAAATTAAGGTTTAAAATTGCCACCGTTTTCTAAATGTGCATGTTTAAATTGGTTCAAAAATGTAATACGATAAATTTTGTTTTTAGTTCTGCCATCTTGGTTGTGCACCATTTTTTGTTTTATAAACACAACAGTTTATTTCAAACATAATGCCAATACATTTAAGACCACAAATAAGTGCTCAGCTGATTTGTATAAACATTTTGACTGTGGAAGCGTTGACGTGGATGGACTTCACATTGGAAACTATTACTTTAATCATATCTGTAAGTTTACCTGGAAATTTTGAGAGCTCCTAGTGCGATATGCATTTGCAGAGTAGAGGTTGTGGTTGTTTGAGGAAATCAGACAAAAGCAGTTATTTTCTACTGTGCAGCTATTAAACTCTGTAGCTCATCTCATCAGTCCAATGTTCAGAAGCTCTCAGTCTGGAGATTTGACCTTTCCATTCTCTGTAACAAACCTCACCATAAACTGTTCTTTACCAATGTACTGAAATAAAAGGGTTGAATTTTATACTTCAGGCACTGTGTTAGAATGGGACTGCCACATGCTAATAATTTCTTTTCCCCTTGTATCTTATATCTCTATGCAATTTTCTGATGGTCATGCTGGTCACCGACAAACTGGGCTAAGACTCAGGAACCCAGACATCCTGTATCCCATCTTCATCTCTGATCAGACTCCCCTGTTTCATATCAGAGTAGTCCCTCTGCCTGGACCACCATTTTGCATCCTGTACATCTTGTAGAAACTATTTTATACAAACTATTTCAGGTGTTAAAACCATGGGATCATCTTGCACCAATCTGGGCACAGATGCATAGAGAAACTAACGTTATAACAAAACGCTTTGCTGGTGTAGAAGACTGTACAGTCCATCTTGTGCTACCTGTGTCTCCTTCAACGCTGTAAAGATCTGCCCATGCATTTCTTTTCATTCTAGAGATGTTGCCTTGAATTGGCTATAAAAAAGCATAGGATTTAATGTTATAAATATATAATTTAAAGAAGAAAAGACACAGATCTTTAATGTGCTACTAATACTTGGATCAGTTGGTGGATGTTAACATGAGAATTTATCTGCAAATGTGTTTGTTCATTTGTGTAAAAGAGAGTTGTCTGTTTTCATGCAAGACCTTCCCTATGTCACTGTAGTGTGTACAGTACAAGAGAGGCTACGACAGTCTAATTTTCATAGGACGTGTTTGTCGGCTGTGAAATCGACATAGGGTGTTGCTCTCAAACTGACACGGAGGAACATTAACCGATGTGAATGGACGGTCCACATGTTTGCATTCATGGTTCTATATTTTGCACCACCTTTTCTGACCAGGCAAGAGACCTTTCATAATGAAAGTGGCTCTTACCACACTATAGTTAACTATAAAGGTGCAATAAAGTTGTGACTTTTGTGAGCTGATTGTGCATTTTTCTGTCTTCTACTGCTTTGAATTGATTTTTTTGTTCTTGTTTTAATTTAGATATTGTAAATTTAGGATGGCAGTTGGCATAGTAGAAATTAGCTAATTTGATATTTTACTGCAATGCAGAATCAAAATCCATATTTGGTCATTGTGAACTATGGGGAAATAGAGAGGGGTAAATCCATTATTTGTTGCATTATGGTTGCACCAGTTGAGCTGGATTAAGCTAGTATTACATTTACACCATGAGCTGATTCAGAAGAAGGATGAAAACTGCTTCTACACTGTTGTCTGTAATTGGCCTTTGGCCACAGCCAATTCACTGATGTCACTACAGGAAGCTGAGTCCAAACACCTCATGTAACATCACTGATTGGTCAGAGGTGCAAGAGATGATGGATGCAGAAATTTTAAAGCGTCTATGATCAATATTTTTTATAACTATCAAATGACTGAGAACAATATGGCTAAAAGCTGTTGTTTGTAGTGATGAGCTGATGAGTAATCTGCAGTTCCCCTCAGTTTGCAGGAGCTTTATAGCAACTTTATAGCCTGCAGCTTTAAAGTTTTGTGTCACTCTCACCGCTCTCATATTGTTGTTTTTTGGACAACAGGTTTTTTCTTTCAGAGAAAAAGCTCTAAAAACCAACTATTCATTTCCTGCTTAGCACTAAAGGGCAAACAGACAAAGGTAGTGACTGGCTGGTGAACACAGTTCCGCATTTAGCAACTAGAAAACAAAAACAGAGTTACAGAGCTAAAAGAAAGTGAACATTGGACTTGAGCTCGGACACGACCAGAGGGTAGGTAGGTGCAGGCTGCCAAGGTCATCTACTAATGTGATGTCACAATTTGTTTGTGCTGCCCTCAAGTGGGAAAAAACAAGTTTTAAGGGCAATGCAGCATTTTCTACCCATTCTTAAATTGGTGTGGACTTTTAGAGTAAAAATTGGTCATTTTTCTGAAAGTGTATACATTTTGTTAAAACAAAACTCTAATCAAACGTCTTTATTTGGCTTTAAAGCTTATGGAAACTGAGTTTTCTCTCACGTTCAACATAAACACAAAATATTATATTGCTTCCAGGTTTTCTGAGCAGTGTCTGCAGTCTACACTGTAAATCACATAAATCGCACCAGTATTCAGTAAAGTTGTTGGTTGAAGAGAAGTTAGAGCGTGACATCACATCTGGGATGGGAGGGGCCAGCATGTGCACAGGCTTCTCTGGATGCGTATCAACTGCAAGCAGCCAGCATCGGCAAGCACACTCGCACATTGCAAACACATCCTGAACGGCAGCTGCGGGGGACAAACAAAACAGCAACAAGCTGGAAAGTAGCACCTTAGAGTGAGCCTGCAATCAAGTTGAATCCTGGAAGGAGGGCGAGGGCAGGGCGAAGAAGAGCCGAGAAAGGGAGGAAGGAAGGAGGAAGGTATCCGGATTACTGCGGGCGCTTGGCGAGAGAGACATCCCCGGACAGTGACGCCTGCAGCAGCATCAGGACCACCAGGATGGAGGGGGAGAATTACGGTATGTCTTCATCTCACCCTTACATAGACTGCATGGCATTTAATGGATGCTGTGATCCAAGCTCCTGATTTTACCATGAGTTCATGTTTTTTTGTTTGTTTTTTTTTTGTCTTTTTTTTTTAGCATTGGTGTCTAGTGTTCGTGCTCTGCTGTGCCAAGTGATCAGAAACGACAGACTGTAGTCCACTGACTGAGCATAGATGTTCATACTCCTGCCAGTCATGTTGCTTTGTGGGAGTGTTGAAATGAGAAGTTGAAATGACGTACAGCAGACTTAGCTCCTGCACTACATTATGTCATATTTTACCATGTGTTTATCTGATTTACATGCATACACATGAAAGGATGTAGCCTACCCCTGTTGGATTTTTTATAAACCAGCTCAAAAACAGGTGGCCTCTGTGGTTCTCACAGCCAAACGGATATAAAAAGATATGTGTGATGAATTATTAAGCAACACACTGCAGCTATGGCAGCACCATGGGCACCATACAAATCCACATATTTACACGGCGGTAGGCAGTGAGATACAGAAAAGTTCCTGCTCTTATGAGAATGGGAATGATCCAAACTGATGTTGGCGTCTATTCTGAGATGCATAGGCTCTTTAGATGACAGGTTTTTCCTTTTTATGAAATGCCTTCTTACAATCCTGCCCTCATTGCCAAAATCAACCATCTTTACAGGAAATTCAATGTCCTGACATCATCTAAGCTCATGATGTCAGGCCACGATGAGCTCGCTGATGGGTAGCTTGGGCTGTGATAGAGTCTTCGTCTCAATTATTTAGCAGTTTAGTTTTTTCTGTGATCTTAATGCATCTCAAAATAGAACCACCAGCAATGGCCTCATTGCGAGAACTCATGCTCTGTTAGAAGAAGGGAGGGCTTTCTGTGAGTCACGTATAAGAGATAAAAAAAAAGTTTTAGTCTAATCTAAGTAGAAATACACCTTTGAGATTATTGATCTGCACTCAACCTCTGTCAAAAGAGAATATACAAATGCTTCCCTTGCAAATCTACAGTCTTGGCCTTTTCATTGAGTCTTTGTCATGTCAGACACTATACTGTAGGGTGCACAGTAGTCCACTCTGAACAGCCCATACAACATGTTTGCTCTCAGTCCCACAGCTGGATATTCATATTTATTTGCAGTCGTCTTCCCTCGTCTGTACTTTCCTATTTGCAATTCAGCTGAAGAATCAGTGGACGATTATGTAATTATCTGCTAAAGTGCGAGGCATAAGAGAAGGGACGTGCCGAAGCTCCCAGCACAGTCAAATAACACTCTCACTGTCCCTGACACCTCCTTAGTCAAATCGACTGCTTGTGGATCTGAATGAGTAAGTACAAGTCATATCATCTCTCCTGTCCCTGAGCACCGTGACTGTTCTGCATAATTGAAGTCTGAGGAGGAGAGAGGATAGAAGTAATCCATCCGCTGTCAAGACTTGACTCTGACAGACTTTATTTTGGTACAGCCTTGTTTTTTTTCTTTATTTATTTTATTATTACTGTAGACTAGACTTATGCAACAAGAACTGTCATATTCGTGTGTTTGAAGATAATCTGTATATTTTATAGCCTTGCTGTGATAACATTTTATAGCCTTGTGTGTAACCTTCTGAAATTTAGGACAGGATTAACATACAGTGTTTTTTGCACTCTGTTCCTGTGATGTTGCTAGGTGTTGGTGCCCGAAACCAGCTATCTTGGGATTCATTGGGTGCAGCTCTGTTTCAAGACTCACTTCAAAAGCTTTGAGCTGCAGGGTGTCAAAATATCTTTGTTTTATCTTCTTTTTTTTTTTCCCCTGCACTTTTGCCATCTACCTGCACCTGTCAGTGCAGCTAAGCTTCTCCTTGCATAATGACATGAGTACACACAAAGGAAACAGTGTGCCTGTTCGCAGGTGTGGTGCACTACAACGCACGTACGTGTGGTTGCTGTGGTTATGGGTGTCATCTCTCCTCTCAGTCTGACCCCTCCTCCTCTGCGGAGTGATTGACATGTCAGAGGTATCGTTGTTTTCTTGTTTTCCTGCTGTGTCTTGTTACTCTCAACCCATGTGATGATGAGACAGGTTTACTCCAACACTAAGCTGCTCTCATGTTCAAAGTACACTCGAAGAAAGACTGTCAAAGCAGCAGCAGCAGCCGCAGCGAAATCTCAGTGGACTTATGCAGTCATATCTTTTTTTAAGAGTAAAAAAAAAAAGAAATGTGACATCAAAATCCCAAAAAAAAGGGAAAAAAAGAAGAGAAGTTGAAATCTGTCACTTCAAAGTCAATGCAAATGTGCACTGATGCTGAAATTCATCTTCTTACTCAATTGTGCAAGATACCAATCTAAATATAGACATTTTTAGAACAGTGATAACAAACTTAACCCTTTGTTTGTCATCATTAAATCTACAGCAATCACAAAGGGAGGCAGACAAGGAGACGCAGACAAACGAGGGATATGAAACCTTTTAACATTAAAAGCAGCTGAAATGAAAATTGGGCAATGAGTGCTGAAACTTTATGTTGCAAGGCACAGTCGGTCTATATTAAGGTTGATAAACCTCATTCTTTGTGGTGAGTATATTCAGTTGAGCTGTACCAGCTGAGGTGCTTGTTCTGTTCCCCCCCCAGCCAGTTGTTAGTCACTGAAGGTGATGCTAACATTAGGCTGCTATGTAGGAGTTCCACCAACACAGATCAGCAAGCTCTCTATAGGTTTATATCCAACCGGGGAAACGCTTTCATCACAGAGGACTTGTCTGCCTACCTGACAAACGTATAGCTGATTTTCAGCTCTCAGTCTCAGACTGTCCTCTCTGGCAGCTGAAGGTTTTCTGATTGTAATATTTGTACATGGGTCCTCCACTTTTAGTCGTTCTACCCACGTAAATTTCACAGCTGAATTAAAGCCAAGTCTGCTGTTCGGTAAACTCCAAAAACCTTCTGGCCTCTTTAGTGAACTAAGAATAAAGGTGCTGTTGCGTGCTATGTCCACCTGGTGGCATGTATGCATAACTGCTAAAGGAGACTGTTTATTTGGGTCCAGTTCGAGGCTCTACTGTACACAGCACCGCACTGAGGAAATCACGTATCTCATCAGCCACTGTTCCTGCTGAATGATGATGTTTGCACCACGATGCAGGTGCACATTCAATCTCATACAATAGTTGTGGCTGCACCAAATGATTTCTGTAATGTGAAACTTTATTGATTGCTATGGGAAAATTATTTTTACACCAACCACCCTCCACCTGGAAGCACAGATTGCGGAGTCAGCTAATAGAACAGCAACTGTTAAAAGTTGAGCTCATACAATATTAATGCTGTATTCATAATAAGTTACTGTGATATAAGTGGCTTTTATAGATATTATGCTATTCTAGTGAATAGACAGAAGCATTTCCCCTTGAGTTTCTTTCTTCTTCTTAGTTCCATTGGAAGGCTGTTGACCTTTTGCACTATTTTGTGTGTGAATGTGCCCAAAAGCAGTTGTCTGTAACTTTGGAGGCTGTTTAAATTTAAACCCAACAGTTTTTTTTAACACTGTGTTTGGACAGTGGTGGAGCTCCAGAGCAACATGAACTCTGTGTGATCTAATAGTCATTCAGAAGTATAATAACAGACCTATTGTACTGAATAATTGATCATTGTGTATGGGCAGTTTAGGCACCTATGGGCCCTCTCCTTAAGGGCTGTCCAAACTGTTTCAAGTGAGTACTACTGGTGCTGTAAGTCTCTAAGAGTGTTCTGCACTTTACTTGAAATAACACATAAGTCCTTATGGTAATATTAAGCATAATGAATTGAAATTTGCCTATATTGCTTTCAACTGCCTTTATTGCAGTTTAATCTTTTTTCAACTTCGCATGCAGGGAGAACCAGGTACAAGGCTGCAGAGTGCACTCTACACACCTACTCTCTATCTATCTATCTATCTATCTATCTATCTATCTATCTATCTATCTATCTATCTATCTATCTACACCCACCTGTTTACAAGTTAATATTCTCTGGGGGTTCTCTGTGAGTTGCTGATAACACACTCGACACTCATTCAGAGAGGTACATTAAGGTGGAGCTGAGCAGTGGGGGAAGAATATGCATACTAAAAAAGAGAAGAGGCACATTTGTGCTGACTTCACTGTGTCCTCTGCTGCTGTTCCTCCCGTGACAGAGCTGCTCCTCTGGGTGATGTGCAGCTGCAGCATTTTAAAGTGGCCAGGACTGACTTTGCAGTTCAGGCAGGGGTCACTATGAGGCGCTCGGCCCTGTGGCAATGAATGGGGCAATGATGGCTACATCAAAAGTGATGTCGCAGCCATGCAAAACCTATATGAAGCAAGTGCCAGATCCACCTTATCACGACATTCAGCTATTGCCACCTAGTCTGTTGCTAACATGCCTGTTGCTAACATGCCGTGCCATGATGGCGTGAATGATTGACAGAGAGGGCGGAGTTAAAGAGCTTATTAATGACTGACATTGAATGAGAGATTGTTGTTGAGGAGTGAGAGACACTTTGTGTGATTGACATGTAGGCTAATTCAGAGTGGCAGATGTGGTGCTGGTTCAAGAGTGGAGGTAAATATTTCCGCTTTATTCCACAAGAGGAAGTGATCGATTGTCGCTGGTTATGAACACATCTGTGGCAGAACCAGGCCAATTTATTTTGTTGTAAGACTGTGTGTGTGTATGTGTGTGTGAAGAAGAAACCCATGTGTGTTACGTGACTCCAAGACCCCAAAATGTGATTTTGTGGCGGTGAATAACACTCAATAGGTGTGAAAATAATCTAATCAAAACAAATGGCTCACAGTGTTTTGCCCAGGAGCAATTCATTTCTTCCACTCCGTTGCCAAGCAACAATGAAATCTTGACTTTATGTACAAGGCTTTTGAAGCCACAACTGATGAGGGACTGGAAGCTAAAAGAAACAGAGGGTAGAGATGGAACTCAAAAACTGCACCACACAAAACAGAGCGACATGCTGTTGACAGGCCGCCATGATTCTCGCGCGCAGTAAAACTTTGAATTTCTCCTTATTCTCCCATTGTTTCTTTAGTTGATTTTCCCAATGATGGTGGTTTTTAAATGGTGCCAGGCACACTTGGTTGCAGCAAAAGGAAAACAGACATTTGTCCTGGGGGTACATTAATAAATGATTTGAAATACAGCCTGGCTTTTGTATTTGTATGTGCAATGTGTTAGGTCTAAGAATATCTGCTTGAATTAATATGTAAAGTAGCAAGAGAGTGCAAGTGGGAGAGAAGGAGAGAGAGAGAGAGAGAGAGAGAGAGAGAGAGAGAGAGAGCAGAGGAGGATAGAGGGAGGCTGAGATAGCGCAAAAGGGGAAGAAGGAGAAAGCAGAAGTGATTTCAGCGTCCTAGCAAGTTGCACATTCCAGTAAGGGGGAAGAGAAAGTAGGTGAGTTTGAGAGACTGGCCTCTGGGAGTGGAGAATTCATCCAACTGGGAGATTAGGTGGAGCAGAGTGACACATAGCAGGACCTGACAGTTGGAGTCTCTCTGTGGACAAGGGCGGCTGGGAGCTCAGTGACTGCCAGCAGCCTCAGCGGGGGAGTCTGGGCCTTCGCAACTTCCCCTTGTCCTCCATCTCAGTCTGACTCGTCGAGGGGGAGCAGCTTTGGACGTTGGCACAGCCACTGACAGAGACAGACCTTCACACACAACACACATATTACTCACTGGAGCTATGGGGACAGTGAGTGAACTTTGCGTGTCAAGCCTTCAAACATTCTTGTGTCCAGCTGTGAAGCCGCCCCAGCAAGGTCCAGGTAAAGTAAAGTTGGGACTGTGGGCCTTGTAGTGCATGCTCCATTGAAGTTTTGTTGTTGTTGTTGTTGGTTTGGTTGTTGCCATGTGTTTTAGCATTACTGTCACCTTATAGCACTGAACACTGTGGCTAGAGCTGATCATTACAATTACATTTGACTGACTTCTCTCTGTTAGATAACCTGTTGACTGACAGTGTCATTGTGTTTACAGCGTGCTTGTGTGGCCGCTGGCACAAACGCACGGCTCCGACAGAGATGAAAACAAACAGTTGGACAGAAATAGCGGGAGCTTCTTGCGGCTTAAGGAGGCTCTCTCATTTAGCACAAGTTAAAACCTCTGCCCCGTGCACACAACACACACACACACACACACACTGAGAGAGGGTGAGCTAATGTTATTACTTACTGAGCGGCTCTAATCTTCAGCAGGTCTCACACACATCCACAGCAGCCAAACTACTTTGAACTGACTGTGTTCATGATCATCTCACATCTGTATTCAGACACATATAGCAGATCCACAAACTGACCAAAGTGAAACCTCCTGTTTCTGCTCCTCTCCCAGTCGCAAGTTGTTGCATCCTTCAATAACTGGGACAGCAGTGTTGTGTTTTCTGGAGATCACCTCATAAACCTGGATAAACAGCTCTCAGTACTTCCCAGTTTAATTACAGATAGAGGAGTAGGCAGGAGTGGAACTGTTTAGGACTGTGTTTATACTCACCATCTGTCTCCATTTGTCCAGATTTGTTCCTTCATTCTGTGTGTGTGTGTTTGTGTGTGTATGCAGTTCATTGTTTTGGGCTGGTTGTTAAGTGTTGCGATTGTATTACACTGCACTGCAGGGTAGCGTGCGGGTTCCCATTGGAAATGTTGACATGACTAAAGCGGCTTCACTGGGTCCTGGTGAATCAGCTGACTGAGTGTGTGGCTAGGGGAAGCGGTGCTGTCTCAGTGGTTTCAAAACACCTGAATCAGCACCGGGGACGTGTGTGAAAAGACAGGACTTCAGTTTTGTTATGAATATTCAAGAGGGGAAGTAATCTGGATCATTCTGGTGACAGCAGAGTTTCACAGATTTCTGTCAAGCAAACAAAAAGTGGCTGACATGTCGGGTGGAAGTGAGGAAAAAGCATGATGAGTTCTAGTTAAATGTTGGTTTGTTGTTTGAGTATTCAGCCTCCAGTCTGAAGCAATACATTCCCAAAGGCTTCACTTCATCTGTCACCCGCCCGCTCATGTCAGGTTTTTTTTTTTTTTTGTTGTTGCTTAAACTGTAATAACACTCATGTTGTGATGGCAGCCATTACATTCTGGGCCCCTAGTGGTGGGAAGAGATTGGGCGGTGTACTGGAAGTGTTGGTGTTTCTGTTTTTAATCATGAATCATACAAGTGATTCATGCGTGACTCATCTAATGGTCGTCCAGCAAGTTCCCATTGTATCAGCAGTGCTATTTCATCACTGCTAAAATATAACATGAGCTAGTGCAAACATGAGTGAGGAGATTTAAAAAAAAAAAAAAAAAGTCACTTGGCTTCTTTAATGGCTGACCTCGTCTAGTGACATCTTATTTCTTAAAGTCGTCATGTTTCTTAGGGGACACAACCTGATGTTTCAATCTGCTCCTTTGCATCTCAAATGAATGAAGCACATGTCCAGTGTTATGTTCCTTCACACCTTGAAATGTTACTGTGAATCTAACATTCTCACTCACTGTGAGTGTGATTCAACATGCCATATTAATCTTCCCAGGACACAGACGGACACTGATGGCGGGCAGTGTATCACTTAAAGCGCACGTGATAGTTATTTAGCTGATTGATATCAGAGCAGCTACATGTTGTCAGTCATGCAAGTGAGGCAGGTGTGCGTCTCCGGGTTTTTCCGGGGCTCTCTGACATGTAAAATTAGTCATGTGGGCTCCATGCGCAGTTGAGGACACACTGATCTGTTTGGGAGCATAAACAGTTTATAAAGTGTTTGAGAATATATGCAAAATCAGCTTGTTGTGAGGGAAAGTATGGTACACTGATGGTTGGTGATGATGCTGAACCAGTTTGGTTTGTGAGTATTTGAGGTTTTTTTTCTTCTTCTTCCTATCTTGTGATCCCCAGATTTTCATTACAAGGACAAAGTAAAGCGCAGATTCATCTGTGCACTGATTATCAGTAAGCTTGTGTGCACACTTACATGAAAGAAGATTTTGGTGAGACTCAACTTTTTTTCTTTTTTTTTCCCTCTGGTAACACACACTTGTGATCTCTGGTAAACACACAGTTTGACGCGTTTTGGACGCTGAACCACACCAGACAGACTCTGCCAGTGAGCTGCTTCCAAGAGGAGTGTGTGGGAATCCAAATAGAGAGGCAGATGAAATCCATACAGCCATGAAAGCCAAATGAGTTATCTCTTTTCTGGTGGCATGGGAGGATTCGCTTTGTTTTTTTTTTTTTATCTTGATAAAAATGGCATGAGATGCAGCACGGCTGTTGGTGGACTGAGACATATTGTTTTTGCTTGTTTTTTTTTTTTTTTAGGCTATCTCAGACATATTGTGCTGTAAGTGCCGTTGTTATACTGTACATGTGCAGACATGCTCATCAGCTTTCATGCCTGCAGACACACTCCGTCTATGAGCAGCAGGGATTTTATTTTGCCATTCCTCAGGACTGCTTATTACTCAGTCTTATGCATAATTAATTACAGATGAGCAATTGCTTCATCACCCTGTAGTCTCCCAAGGCAGTGATAGTGCTTGTTGCGGTGACCATGTCAAGTACAGGAACGAGAGCAGTGCAAAATGCTGTGAGCCTAGCATGTGGAAGAGTGACTTCTCCTGGACATACAGGCTGTCAGCTCTCTGCATTTCATACCCTCTTTCTAAAACTGATTTGCAAAGTCACAGCTTCTGACAGCAGTATTTCTGCATGTATATGTGTGTAAGTGGAAGTGATTTCTGCTGTAGGCTGCTATAAAGGAAATTTACTGTTCAGAGAATGTGGAGAGCATTCTATTTTTAAAGCAGAGCTGGCCAAGTATATTTTTTTCACCATCACAAACACACACACACACACACACACACACACACACACACACACACGCACACACATTAGAGAAGTGACATGAAAGCTAGAGGTATTCTTGTATTTATTATATAACTCATGTCAGTAATTGCTCAGGTGTGGACTCCCTCTCAACCAGAAAATCATAGGGTCTATCGATCCAAAGGTGTCATTACCTCTGACTGCACCTGTAAAAAGAGAGCAGTGGTTTCAAAATCAGCTTGTGCAAATTAGTCATGCATGGAGCAACAAAACTCCAGCCACAGCTTATGCCAAAGAATGTCTACCATGCATGCTGTAATCTTAACAGAGCCATTTTTCAAGCCTGCTTGTTTCAAGGAGGTGTGGGGACACTAACCTCCTATTTCTCAATAAGCCTTTTTCTGGGGCTGAATTTTGTTAAGATGTCAAAGAGGCAGAGAAAAAAAAAACAGGCATACCATTGCGTAACATGACCCAACACCCTGCAGCTAACTAACCTCTAAATGTTTCGAAATGCCAGGCAAATATGTAAGTAATTGTTTGACAATGTCTGGGCCTGTGTGCAATGTGCGTGTCCTGATATTATTTATGAACTCAGTTAAAGTAAAAAAAAAGAGTTAAATTTCCTTACGTTTCTTTTTTCTGCAGGTAGTAACTGTAATTATTGTAAATGGCCAGGAGGGGTCACTCTCAGCATTTCTTCTCATAGGATACAAGTTATTTTCATACACAGAAGAAGAAGAAGAAGAAGAAGAAGCGGAAGAAGAAGAGGAAGAAGAAGAGGAAGAAGAAGAAGAAGAAGAAGAAGAAGAGAAGAAGAAGAGGAAGAAGAAGAAGAAGAAGAAGAAGAAGAAGAAGAAGAAGAAGAAAGTCAGCTTTAAACACAGCTTTACTATTCTATTCAGGGAGTATCATCATGTTAAAGGATCATTCCACTAATTGTTACAGATCATCATCACTTTACTGTTTACTGTACTGTACAGTCAGGAGGGTGCTCTCTAAAGTTTGAGAACATAACCCTAATGATATAATTAGATTTAGCTTGTGTTTGGAGACTACACGTTTTCAATAGAAAGCCTGCATTGTAAATGCAAGGAGTTCGAAAGACATTTACAAAACATGAGGGAAATGACTGATGATTTTGGGAAGAGTCTCAGTCTCTGCTGCATCAATTTTGAATATTATTATTTTTTATATATATATATAATCATTAAAAAACATTATGGAGGTGAAGCACTAAATTACTGGAATTCCCCTGTAAGTGCTGAATTTAGTAGCTCTCATCATTTTAAGTCAGAGTTGTCTCTGTGGGAACACATCATTAAAGTGTATGGAGGTGACGTAGCCAGCAACACATTTTATATTTTTAATTATTTCCTCTTAGTCTCTTGTGCTGTTTTGCTGTTTAAAGGTAGAAGGCAGGGAGAGGCAGAGGCTTGTTGTTACACTTTGCTTGGTGGAAGGCATCTTTCCCTGTGGCTGTGTCACTTCAAAACACACTGTAATCCAAAGGCTTAACATAGTACACTACTTTAGCTACTTCATATTATGAGCAAGGCTTCTGTCAAAATGTTCTTAGGTGTTAGTGAGCTACTTTCATCTTATGCAGGTTTAGCTGCTTAAAGATGTTTCCTTCCCATTGCTGCTGGAAAGTTGTCAAGAAAAGAGTCTTTCTCTTGGTTTTTTAACCAAATTACCATTCCCTTATTGCAAAGCAAATTCTCTGTGTCCTTAAATAACAAAGAAGGAAATAATAGCACAGATATGGACAAAATAATAGCATCATCTGACAGTGTTATCCAATCCAGACCTTGGATAAGGAAAGAAAGGTGTTGATCCATATTTTTGTAACATTTGAGACCATGAGTTCATGGTGTTGTTGTATCGTATACTTTAAATTATCAGGTGCTCCTGTTATTTTCAAACTGATGCACACTGATTCATGAATAAAGCA